TCTCTCTCTCTCTCTCTCTCTCTCTCTCTCTCTCTCTCTCTCTCTCTTTCTCTCTGTCACATTATCCGTTGGATACTGATTTGCTTTCCCATTCATGGAAGTGAATGAGATTCAGCAGAGGGTATTCCTGGAAGACGAGGACAGGTACTGTTTCCACAGATTCTCCCTGATGCCCCATTTGTGCAGCAGTCCACACTATTCCCCATCCCTCTGGAGCAGCTATTCAGGGACTGCAATGGGAAGGAAGAATCAGCAAAAACCGTTCCAGTGGGGAAAACCTATGAGTGGAATTGTTCTCATGAAAACTGTGGATCCAAACTATATCTCTAACCTACCATTCAGTCATAAAATGCCCCCCTCCCACCAAAGCTATTTTGTCACCTATTTTTGCTTACAGAAGCAAAATTTGATACATTTGATATTGTGTATTTGACATGTAGAATTAATAGGTGAGGCAAAGTGCAGGTGAATGGACACCTGGGTCACTGGTGGAATTTGCAGTAGACCCAAATGAAGTCAGATTCTCTGAATCCACCCTGCAGATTCAACAACAGAACAACTTCTTTGGACTTTTTTATATTTGAAGGGAATTTGGACAGAAGTCCATTTTCAGAAGTGCAGCAATAATGTGCATTTGCAAAAATGGACAATGTTCTCATCCACCCATAGAAAGAAAGAAAGAAAGAAAGAAAGAAAGAAAGAAAGAAAGAAAGATTCTGTCAAAGAGGAAATGACAGAATGAAAGACTCCTGACAATCCACAAAACACAGGCAGAAAGAATTTAACAATAACTATACATCCCTAAGGGATGCTGCTCTTTTACACAAATCTACACAACAAATGAAATGGATGCTTGTTGGTTGTTTCCACCATTCTTGTCTGGTAAGCTTCCTTGTGAAACTACCCTGGTATGGCCTGATTGATATTTTATTACTTTAAATGACCTATTAAGTATAAACCTGATTCCATGTGGAGTCTCATTCACACATGGCAACATCTCTTTTTGCAAATGGTAATATACATGCACACTTCCACTCGAGCTCATGAACGTTAACAGTCAGTTTAGGAGCGTAAAGCTTCCTAACAAGTCCAGGCTTGTCTGATCCCTGTTCAGAGGTGACACCAGGGATTCCTCTGTGGGCCACTTGGGCCAGTGAGTGAGGCACAAGGGAATCCCAGCTGTTCTTTCCAGTCACTGTTCAGAGATAACAGGAGCTGCTGATTGAATCTGCTTGTCGACCACACTCTGCCTCCATGTAGATGACCTACTCTGTGTTGTGGACTAACCCACACTGTGCCTTCTTCCACTTCAGCGAGTGGCTACAGAGAAAAGGGCCTTTTCTGTGATGGCGCCCTGGTTGTGGAATGTCCTTTCCAGAGTAACTCACCCAGCACCTATGTTGGCATCCTTCAGCACCAAAAGAAAGCTGTTTACTTTTCCCAGGCTTTTAAACTTTAGGTTTAAGCTGTTTTTACTCTGTGTTTTCAGGCTGCTCTTTTGCTGTCATTTTTAGCACAACTGAATATTAAAGTATTTTCTCTCCTGTGAGCTGCTCTGAGGATGACATATGAAGGCAGTAACTCAGTCAGTAACCAAGAAGATAGATAGATAGATAGATAGATAGATAGATAGATAAATGGGAACACTAATATATGTATGGCAAGCCGCCTAGGAAGGCCTTGGTAGTTATAGGAAGCCAATAAATAGTCAATCAATCTGTACCTTTGTGGCGTGCTGTTCTTTTTTCTTCCGAATGGCATCATACTGCTCCTCTCCTAGCTCAGTTAGTTCCTCCTCCAGCTTCCCTTTCAACTCCAAGACTCTGCTGTCAGGACTCTCTGCCACCTCCACAGGAAGTAATGCTGCACTGCTCTCCTCTGTAGGGGCCCTGCAACTGCAGACACAAGGAACAATTCCAGCTGTGAAGCAGAGGTGGCTGGCTCACCAACCACACTCAGCCATATGACCAGGGGCCCATGCTGCATGATAGCCTTGTATGGTTAAGGGTTGCCACTGTATGCCCTAGAAGCAGGTCAGTGAGTGACGGCGGCACTCACAGTCCTGCTTCCTTAATAGTCTGTAGATATCCTATATCAAAAAGGGTGCACAGCAAACAGCATTTTATTGCTCCCTGTTAAGCGTAAACATCCCTTTACTTGTTCCTCCAATGAAGAGGCATTTCCTCAAAGCACATTTGGATTTTGAAACTTTTCTGAATATATACAATATATAATAGCTGGATTTTCTCAAGTGCACTGAACTGCACCTGTACTTCTGCTGTTTCCTTTTTGGTATAATGTCGCTTTTTTCTGTGCTCCTGGGAGTAAACCGGTCCTTTTCAGTCATCTGCCAAGGGCTGTGCCACACATTCTTCTAGCACTGAGATTAACACAGTTACAGAGTATTAACACAATTGCAACACAATCCTATGGGCCTATCACCTCCACCACAACCAAAGAGACTCTGCTGGGGGGTGTACAATCAAAAGAACATTTACAGTTCATTCAGGCGTACAGGAAATACATGCGCATGTAGGCAGCCCCTCCAGAGACTCCAAAGATGAAGTCTGTACAAGAAGCTTTTATAACCTATCAGTTACATGTAGTTTGGAAGAGGGGTGGGGGATCATGTGGGGGAAGAAGTACACAGTATGCTTAGAATAAAAACAACTGGGGATGAACACAATACAAGAGAAGAACCTTCAGGAAAGGCAGACATACTGGAGTAAAACAATAGGGATTATTGGGGTTAAGACAGAAGACTACAGAAATAACCTTCAGGACTGGCAAAGCATTAGCATATTAAGAGTGTACCTCCAAAGGACAGGCAAGCATTAACATATCTATTATGTATGTGGGAAGCAAGACTTGCAACATGGATTCCTGCTCAGATCAAGAATCTCACCTTATACCTAAAGCTCTTCTTAGAGTGTCAGGCTTTTAGCAGCCATTTTATGGCAGAGCTTTTGCTCATTTTGTCCTGACAGCCCTCTTCCTACTTAATCTCCACACTGGAAAAACATAAGTTCCACAAATTGGATGGTGTGTGTGTGTGTTCATACCATGCACATAGTCTTGGGGAAGTAGTTGCTTCTACCCAGGCCCAATTGGAAAGAGGTAATTGTTTCAGTTAAGGAAATGTGGAAACATGTCTACATGTTATCTGGACCCATTGCAGTCCGGCTTCAGACCCGGGTACGGTACTGAATCTGCCTTGGTCGCCCTGTATGATGACCTGTGCAGGGAGAAGGACAGGGGGAGTGTGTCCCTGTTGGTTCTTCTGGACCTCTCAGTGGCTTTCGATACCATCGACCATGGTATCCTTCTGGATAGGCTTGCGGGATTGGGGGTTGGAGGCACTGCTTTGCAGTGGTTCCGCTCCTATCTCAATGGCCGGTTCCAGAAGGTGGTGCTGGGGGACTATGGCTCTGCGCCATGGCAGCTATGCCATGGAGTACCGCAGGGGTCCATTTTGTCCCCTTTGCTGTTCAACATATACATGAAACCGCTGGGAGAGGTCATCAGGAGGTGTGGGCTGCGGAACCATCAGTACGCTGATGATACCCAGCTCTACCTCTCGTTTTCCACCAATCCAGGTGAGGCAGTGGCTGTGCTGAACCGGTGCCTGGCCGAGGTAATGGGCTGGATGAGGGCCAATAAACTGAAGCTCAATCCAGACAAGACGGAGGTCCTGTTGGTTGGCGGATCGGGCTTCGGAGAGGGTGAATTGAACCTTGTCCTGAATGGGGTTGCACTCCCTCTTAGGGACAAGGTCCGCAGCTTGGGAGTGCTCCTCGACCCAGAGCTTTCACTGGAAGCTCAGGTAACAGCAGTGGCGAGGAGCGCTTTCCTCCAGCTTCGGCTAATTCATCAGCTGCGCCCCTATCTGGAGAATGACTGCCTTGCGACAGTGACACATGCGTTGGTGACTTCCCGTTTGGACTTCTGTAACGCGCTCTACGTGGGGCTACCCTTGAAGACGGTCCGGATACTTCAATTGGTCCAAAATAGAGCTGCCAGGCTGCTGACGGGGACTGGACGTTATGTTCACATGACTCCAGTTCTCCGTCAGCTTCACTGGCTTCCCATTGAAGTCCGGGCCCAATTCAAGGTGTTGGTTATGACCTATAAAGCCCTAAACGGCTTGGGTCCTGGTTACCTGAAGGAGCGCTTACATCCTTATATGCCCAGCCGCCTCCTGAGATCGGCGGGAGAGGCCCTTCTCCGGGAGCCCTCCATGGAAGAAGTTAGGAGGGTGGTTACTCGGAGGAGGGCTTTCTCAGCGGTGGCGCCTAAGTTATGGAATGCGCTCCCCAGAGAGGTCCGCCTGGCGCCGTCGTTATTTGTTTTTCGGCGCCAGGCGAAGACCTTTTTATTTAAGCAGTATTTTAAATGTTAATATTATTGAATTTTATTTGGCCAGGGCGGCTTGTTTTATAGTGTATGTTTTATATTATATATTTGTATTTTATTGTATATATTTTAAAATGTTATTTTAATTTTTTGTTGTAAGCCGCCCCGAGGCTTCAGCGAATGGGGCGGCATAAAAATGTTTTAATAAATAAAATAAAATAAAATAAAATACACACACACACACAAACATGCACAGTTCTTGGTGGGAAGCAACCTTATACTTGTCTCTAACCTGTCCACAGGCTGTAGAAGCAACGCAGTGATCAGAGCACATTTCCAGTCAGTGTACCACAGCAGCAGCTGGCTGCAGAGCTGCAGGCCAAGATGAGAGGAGTGGGCCCAAGCACATGCCCAGAGGATCCCAGGTTACTGGAGTGTGTGTTCTCAGTTTGTACTGGGCTGTACCAGATTGTTCTGGACCTGTTTGCCGGCACCCCTCCTTCACGTTTCACCTTGCCCCATCGAGTCCCTCCCTCTCTTAGCTGAGCTAATATCTGGAGGAAAGTATGAGTGAGGCATTGTCCCCGTCGTGTGTCCTATGTGTTAGTTTAAACTAATGCAGCTGCCTTGGTGAAGCTATGCAGGTCTGAGCCTGGTCGGTGCCTAAATGGGAGACTCCCCTGTATGTCACCATGGCAGAAGACAGGTAGGAAATAAATATATGGTTGAAGCAACAAGGCTTTTGACTACCAGTAAGGCTCTCATAGCTTTTCTGGCTTATGATCTGACTTATACCTCTTTTTTCTGAAGGCTTTTGGTGTGCTTGGCATTTTCTTCTTGGCAGCCTGTGCCATCACCTCCGTGAAAAGAATGACATATTTCTGCAACTGGTCTTCTCTGCGCTTGATGCCCTTCTGCTCCAGCTCCTTCAGTTCCTTCTCCTGTTTTTTCAACAGCTTTTGAAAAGCCTTCATCTGCTGTAGCTCTTCAATGCTAGCAGTCTCTGGTTCTAAAACACAGCATGAAAAAGAAATCCATCTTGGCTGGTAAGACATTAAACTGCTTCTTATTTTCTTCATCCACTTGAGGGACCCTTCTGCATAGCTGACTTATTACGCACATCTTCTCTCAAGTTGTCCCCCTGCGGCGTAAATATCACATTTCTCCAGTTCAAACTACAGTACTTGATACCTGGGAAAGGGCAGACTTGCCCCACCCGAAAGTGCTGTCTGGAGTGTGATTGAGCAAATTAAATGGCCCCCTGTTGAATATTGTTTGTGATCCAGCTAAGAAGGCCAAGCACAGTGTTTTATACATGCATCCAGACTTTTCTGACTCCCAGGGAGATCCAGTGCAGTGTGGGAACATGCATATGGAAAGGTTTCAATGCCTGCCATTTGGATCCTGGGAATTATTCTTAAAGAATGACAGTTCTTTCCCATACCATTTGGTGAACTTTAAAACAAGTATGCATGTGTGAACTTTCTCAAACATTATTTAAAAATAAAATTCCTATGCTCCTTCTGAATGTAAGATGGATTATAGAGCTAACCTGTGAGGGATTTGTAGGAACAATTTTGTAATGGTTCATTTCTAGCACTGAGTTATATCAGCGTGGAAGTTAACTTACTCACTATTAACATGGCCAAAATGAATAAAGATTAGAATTACCCATGGGTTTTTTCATGGTTTTTTCTTTCCCTACAGCCAAAGGTCCTGGAGTGGGAAACAATATGAGGGATAAATGTGTCAATTGAGCTTCATGAAAGATAACAATAATTGAGAAAGACCATAAGAGGAGCCATACAGGATCAGACCTATCAGACCCTGCACCAGATACTGATGGGAAGCCCCCAGGCCAGACATAAGCACCACTGCACTTTCTCACTCATTACTCCCCACTATTTATTTTATTTATTTATTAAAACATTTCTATGCCGCCCCTTGCCATAGCCTCGGGGCGGCTCACAACATAATAAACTACACAATATTTTACTGAATACTAACTGGTATTCAGATGCAAACTGCCTCTGATATTAGAGGTAACATATAACCATCATGACTAACAGCCCCCAAGAGTCTTCTCCATGATGTTGGCCAGGGATAGAACGTTCAGGCAGACAAATGGTAAATGTTGCTCCTACTTTCTGACTCCTGGAGTAACAGCATCTCCTTTCAAAAACCGAATAATGCATGTCCTCATACTCCCAATGACCCACAACCACATCAACAGCAGTACCTTCAGGTCCATTTGAAGGAGGAGTACTGTAGGTTCCTGTGGCATGCAGAATCCCATTGGTATTTTGCTGAGCAGCTGAAAGACTAAATTGGAAGTTGGGCTTCTATAAAACAAAGGTCAGTAGCATATCAGTGTCAAAGCAAAAATGGGTCTCTGGGAACAACTGGCTTCTTTTTCCAGTTTGTATTTCTTTTATTGTATTTTGGTACCTTAAGTTGCCATCGCAGCAACAGGAAGCATAAGAAAGAGCCATGAGATGCACATAATGGGGAAATTTCTCCTCCTCATGAAATCTCCATCAGTGGACTCAAACTTTTCCACCAATATCTTTCCCTGTGCAGCCTCTCACATATTGGCCTGTGCCTGACCCACAATGAGCTGCTATGGCTAAGTGCTCATGGGCACCGGGTTACACATGAACTTCAGCTCAGTGTATGTCATGTCATGTAAACTTGGCAAGACCTAAACAGCCCTCATGTAACCCTAAAGCCACAAGGTGCTGTTACTGGTTTGTAAGCTGTCCGGAGATCTGTTTTGGATGAAGGCAGGGTAGAAATATTTTAAATAAGTTAAAAAAAACAGACCTTGGCCATTATTATGTACTTTCATTCATGAAAGTTGTCAGGCCGTTTACATGCTGTTGTCATCTTTCAAGGTCTCTCCTGTGTTCTTAGCCATTTTTGTGGCTGTTTTAAGAGTTGGGATAATGCAGTATTAAATTTTAAAGGCAGCACAAACTGGAATAAAGACTTGTTTAATTCAACAATTGTGCTGTACTGCAGTGCCACTTTGCGGTTGCATAATAAACAAACAAATCATAAAGAATTGTAGGGAAAGCAAAATCCAGGGGAAATAACTCATGTGTGAATGATACTCTCCTGTTTCTGCAAAGAAAACAGAAGCAGCCAACATGCCCCACTTCACACAGAGAAGCTTCATGAGTGGTGGTGTTTAGTTTAACCCTCTCCTATCCCATGCTCACCAGGTCTACATTATATGGCAACATCTCAGTGTGGCTTGCATAGTCAAAACGGCGGACCACCCACACCACCGCCTGACTTTGGGTTAAATAACCCATGGCATATTGCCACTGTGTACAAACAGCCCCATCCTGTGCCGCTTCTCAATAACCTCAGCCCCCTTGCCCAAGTTGCCTTTTCATACTGCCCTCTCAAAAACATATTGTTCAGAGCAGCACATAGGCAAGGCCATGATAACTGGGAAGCAGGCCAAAAATGAAACTGTTATTGCCCTCTCTCTCCCAGATCAGAATAGAGTTCCTTTCTTCTTTGGTCCATCTTGAGTCTTTAATGTTAAATGGGATCCAAACTGGATGAGACATTAACTGCCCTTTTGAATTACTTTCTGTCTTAGCATAGGAAATAGAGAAGGCACTGGGAAGCAACAGTTAGATTTCTCTCTGCTTCCCTCATGTACCCCAAAGTTGGTATTAGTCCACCTCCCGGTGCTAGAAGGAGAAGTGTATGCATGTGGGCACACATGGTGGTGGAGAAGGTACCTGTATGTAAATACCTGTAAATAGGGGGCAAGTAGTTACATGGAAGCAAAGGAGATAGTTAATTTGCTTTCATTTGTGCTGGGAATTTTTGCATAAAAAGCTAAACTCTCTCCTTATATGGCTAAAACTATATTTTAGTTCATTGCTCAGTTAGGAACATCTTCTGCAAAAGGTGTTCCTTGTAGTTATTCATGCTGGCTCTATAACTTCCAGGAAGCAAGAACAGACATCAGGATCTTAACTGGGATCATCTGTATGCACAGAGCTTTATTCAGAAAGATCCTGGAACTGCTGGAGCTATAACCTCCACCCTCAGTACCTCTTAGGAAAAAAAGCCCTTACCAAAAAATTCTTTTCCTGCCCCTTGATGTCTGTATCATCTTTGCATTTTGCTCCCAACAAAGCAGAGAAACCTCAGGTGATAATCATTTCCTCCTTATCCATCACTTCAGAGTGCACATGCAAAACATTTGTTTAGCAGTTCAAATTTTTATTGTTTTATTATTTCTGCTCCTAACCACTTTGAACTGTACAAGAAAAGATACTTGTTTTTTGTTTTTAACTAAACAAATAACCAAAACCAAATGATCTGCAGGACTCACCTCAGAATTAGTCCCTTGGTTTTTCACTGCCTTTTCATCATGGGCATTAAAAAACTTGATTGGGTTGGAGAGAGCCATGGTGAGACCTAGAAAAATAATGTAAGACTTTCAACAAAGGCATCATTTTTCCTCCCATTTATTATATGCCTCTTCAACTGCTAGGAACATAATAGAATTGACATAACTCAAACTTTGATATTTCTCCCACATTCATGCATAATGGTCCAGACTCACCAGACTCCAACTGGTTCACATACAACACCATTCTGTCATTTATATAACCTATGGTAATCCCATGGTTAGCTTGGCAAAATATTGAACAAACTGCAATTTGTCTTCTCAGGTCTTGAGGTTTTGTTTCCCTTTTTCTTTGCTCACTTCTTTCTTGTGTTCCAAATGCCTCTGTGGTACAATAGTACTAGCATACAAAGTGGCTTTTTTGTTTATTTTAATCGTTATTGCTGTTTGCCTCTGTAGCCTGGCAAAACAACCCATAAACTCAAAGGTGTGCATTTGCACATAAAGACAACCCATGGCTGGCTGGCTGGCTGGCTGGCTGGCTTGCTTGCTTTGTTTGTTTGTTTGTTTGTTTGGGTATTTTTTACTCTGTCTGAAACCCTGCGGGTCTCTGGACGACTTACAACTTAACCCAAGAGCCCACAACCCAACAACTAAGGGTTTCCAGGTTGTTTAACAAACCAAAGCTTGTTAGCCTGGCTATGTTCACACCTCATGACAACCCAGAATTCAACAGTCCCTGTTCTAAAAAAACAATAGGTTAGCATGATGTAAAAACCAAATCAATGGCTCAATCAGAGATTGTTCTATGATATCAGAAAGTAGATACTATGGGTTAATTGTGAATTAAATTGTATACCATTAACCTAACAACTAAATGTTGGTTAATTTGGGGTTGTTTAATGCATGATTAATCTAAAGTGTCCAGGTTTGACATCATGAAGGCCAACTGTAGAGTGTATATTTAAAGAGACAGCAACATGCATGCCCCCTTCATGGATCAATGCCTTGTTGTGCCAAAGGGGCTTGTGTAGCTCAATGAAGCTATGAGCTATGCCGTGCCGGGCCACCCAAGATGGACAGGTCATAGCAGAGAGCTCTGACAAAATGTGATCCACTGGAGAAGGAAATGGCAACCCACTCCAGTATCTTTGCCATGAAAACCCATGGACAGTACCAAAAGGCAAAAAGATATGACGCCGGAAGATGAGTCCCTCAGGTCGGAAGGTGTCCAATATGCTACTGGGGAAGAGCAGAGAGCTAGTACTAGTAGCGCCAGAAAGAATGAAGCGACTGGGTCAAAGCCGAAAGGACACTCAGTTGCCGATGTATCTGGTAGTGAAAGGAGAGTCTGATGCTATAAAGATCTATACTCCATAGGAACCTGGAATGTAAGATCCTTAAATCAGGGCAAGCTGGGTGTGGTCAAACAAGAGATGACAAGACTGAACATCGACATCTTAGGAATCAGTAAACTAAAATGGACAGGAATGGGTGAATTTAATTCAGATGACCATCAGGTATACTACTGCAGGAAAGAATCCCTCAGAGGAAATGGAGTAGCCTTCCTAGTCAATAAAAGAGTAGGAAAAGCAGTACTGGGATACAATTTCCAAAATGACAGAATGATCTCAGTTCGAATCCAAGGCAAATCATTCAACATCACAGTAGTGTAAGTCTATGCCCCAACCACTGATGCTGAAGAGGCTGAAGTTAACTGGTTCTATGAAGGCCTACAACACCTACTAGAATTAACACCAAAAAATGATGTCCTTATCATCATGGGGGATTGGAATGCTAAAGTAAGAAGCCAAAAGATAACCGGAATAACAGGCAAGTTTGGCCTTGGAGTACAAAATGAAGCAGGGCACAGGCTGGTAGAATTTTGTCAAGAGAATACAATGGTCATAGCAAACACTCTTTTCCAACACCCCAAGAGACGACTCTACACATGGACATCACCAGACTTTCAACAGTGGCCACAGGTTTGGAAAAGGTCAATTTACATTCCAATTCCAAAGAAGGGCGATGCCAAAGAATGTTCAAACTACCACTCCATTGCACTCGTTTCACATGCTAGCAAAGTTATGCTCAAAATTCTACAAGCTAGTCTTCAGCAGTATGTGGACCGAGAACTACCAGAAGTACAGGGAGGGTTTCGAAGAGGCAGAGGAACTAGCGATCAAATTGCTGACATACGTTGGATCATGGAGAAAGCTAGGAAGTTCCAGAAAAACATCTGCTTCATTGACTATGCTAAAGCCTTTGATTGTGTGGATCACAACAAATTGTGGCATGTTCTTAAAGGGATGGGAGTAGCAGACCATCTTATTTGTCTCTTGAAAAACCTATATGCATGCCAAGAAGCAACAGTGAGAACTGGACATGGAACCACCGATTGGTTCAAAATTGAGAAAGGAGTTCAGCAAGGCTGTATACTGTCTCCCTGCCTATTTAACTTATATGCAGAGCACATCATGAGAAAGGCGGGGCTGGATGAATCACCAGTTGGAATTAAGATTGCCGGGAGAAATATCAAGAACCTCAGATATGCAGATAATACCACTGTAATGGCAGAAAGTGAAGAGGAACTAAAGAGCTTCTTGACGCAGGTGAAGGAGGAGAGTGCAAAAGTTGGCTTGAAACTCAACATTAAGAAAACTAAGATCATGGCATCCGGTCCTATCACTTCCTGGCAAATAGATGGGGAAGAAATGGAGGTAGTGACAGATTTTATTTTCCTGGGCTCCAAGATCACCGCAGAGGGGGACTGCAGCCAAGAAATTAAAAGACGCTTGCTTCTCGGGAGGAAAGCTATGGCAAATCTAGACAGCATACAAAAAAGCAGAGACACCACCCTGCCGACAAAAGGGCACATAGTCAAGGCTATGGCTTTGCCAGTTGCAATGTATGGCTGTGAAAGCTGGACCATAAGGAAGGCTGAGCACCAAAGAATTGATGCCTTTGAATTGTGGTGCTGGAGGAGACTCCTGCGAGTCCCTTGGACTGCAAGGCGATCAAACCGGTCAGTCCTAGAGGAGATCAACCCTGACTGCTCTTTAGAAGGCTAGATACTGAAGATGAAACTTAAATACTTTGGCCACTTAATGAAAAGGAAGGACTCACTGGAGAAGACTCTGATGCTGGGAACAATAGATGACAAAAGAAGAAGGGGAAGGCAGAAATTGAGGTGGCAAGATGGAGTCACTGAAGCAGTCGGCGTGAGCTTAGGTTGACTCCAGGGGATGGTGGAGGATAGGAAGACCTGTAGGAATGTTTTCCATGGGGTCGTGATGGGTCAGACATGATTTCGCAACTAACAACAACATGAATGCAAAATTGTGAGTTGATGTGAATTACATTTTAGCCCATATGGATTACATGTAAATGGATTACCAACTCTCATTATGTCAGTACAAGTTGGGGCAATTAATAAGGGTTCTGAGGCCTTTCAGTTCAGTCACCTTCAATGCATTGGAACTCTGGGTCTCTCCAGAATTTCTGCCCGAAAAGAAATCTGGAGTGTGCATGTTTGCTGATTTGCATATTTCACGCAGGTTACAAACACACGTAACACATTTCTCTGCCAAGGCCTGGGAATGGCAAATCTCAAAGAAGTCCTCACTGGACTGATTGCGGGGAATGGCTTTCTGGTCTGCTAGATTCTGTTGCAAGAGCTGGGGAAAGGAAGAGAGCTTGGTATTAACAGTCTGATTGCTTCTCCCCAGCAATAGACTGACTTCTCTTTGAAGTAAGTGAAGTAAACATGTATTTAATGCCATGTATGGCTAGACCCTCTTCCAGCCAGCGGGTATCTGCATACAGTACATCTCTAGCTGAACTGGCAACTGCACTGCAAATAGGGGTCATACAAATGGATCCCATGATTTAGCTGTTGTGACTATGTACAGGTTTCAAGAACTGATCAGCCAATGAGCTATCAAAGATGCATGCAGGGGTTAGAGTCAGTCTTTCACATCCTTCACTCTCCTGTCCAAACAAGTGTAGTGTGATTTTTAATTATCTTGGCAGGAAATGCACACACAGCCATGCCTGCTTCAAATATGGGTTGGATCCAAATTCTTCATTCTGTCAGTAGAAGGACATCCTTTTCTCCTTCCTCCAAGCCTGCCCTCCATGCTCTCCAAGTCCAATTCTCCAGAGCAGGTTTGGAGGGTGTGGAGCAAACTGCAGGGGATGGGAGAAGATGGAAATGTTCTTTTCCATGCGCCTGTCTTTCTGGTTCTACATGGATTCTAAACTGTCTCTGCAATCCATTGATCCAGTTCCTTTGTTCATAAAGGAATTATCATAACTGATCATGAATGTTGCTAACTATGGCTACAAGATCAGTAGTAGCATCTCTAATGATGGCTGTCCAACATTTCACGGGAAAGCCTCATCCAGTGCTTCATACTTCTGGGATCAGATAATCTCCACACCATACTTCACCAGGAATGTGGTAGATGATAACCTGTCAGAGCTGGACTGTAGGAAGTCCTAGTGAGGTAAACATTGCTCCCTCTATACTGCAGCTCCATACACTCATTAAAAGGAAGTGAAATCCATGGCATGCATCTTTACATGTGCGTGTACATGTGTGTGTGTGTGTGTGTGCGCATGCATGCATGCACACATGCTCTAACAAAAGTATAGACAGTGGTGCAGCCATGTAATTCTAGACCCTGGACTTAACTGTCGCATGCCGTCCCCCTTAGAAGCCATATGTATTCCTTCAGTTGGAAAGCACTTTCCAAACTGAAAGTGGAAGTGCTTCCCAACTGAAGAAATATATGCTTCACAACTTGGAACATACACTTCTCTCCTTCTCTTTGCCCCTCCAAATCACATCCCAAGCTGTAAAACTAGTTCTGCCTTTCTGATACATTACAGGTGTGTGAGAATCCATTTGCTCAGAAGGTAACAGTCACATCAGCAGCTGGGTCAAAGAATGTGAATTCAACTCAGGATGGTACTGAGCGCACCACAGGTTTGTCCTTGTACAGTATTACAGCAAAATAGGTTGTCTGGCGTCTATGCACATTCCTGCAGTATGAATTTGCTTGTTCCCAGACGCCCTTTCTCCCCTGCTCCCTCCCCAAGAAAGGACACAAGTTGCAGGAGAGGCTTGTATGCATGTGCATCTCACTGTGACAATTTCTCACCAATCATAAAATGACTAGTTGTTGTCTATATAAGAAAGTGTCTTTATTATTATTATTGTTGTTATTATTATTATTAGAACATTTCTATGCCTCCCCTTGCCGAAGCCTCGGGGCGGCTTGCAACACAATAAAATACAATACAATACAAAAATAACAATATAAAATTAAAATTAATAATATTAAATAAAAAATATAAACGATATCAAAGAAGTTATAAAAGAAAAGTTATAGAAGAAAAGAAGAAAAGAAAAGAAGTCGCCCTGGCCAGATAAATAAATAAATATTGTTAACAATTAAAATGACGTTTAAATAAAAAGGTCCTTCACCTGGCGCCGAAAAACAAATAACGACGGCGCCAGGCGGACCTCTCTGGGGAGCACATTCATAGTGAGAGAGCTTGCTTCTGCTTTCTCTCCTGCTTGCTGCTGCTTGGAATAAAGGCTGACGCTTGATTCAGAAAGGCTTGTTACAGTAATATTTGACAAGACCATAACGATGAAACTGTCTGCTGATTTAATTCACAGCAAAAATGCTCTGAGCATGTACTGTTTTTTCATTTTAAATTAGCTAAAATCATAGCATCATCAGGATTACAGGAATAAAATGGCATTTAGTACTGCTGCTCCTAGGATGCGCATCACCCATCTTTCCCTGGGTGGTCATCTGTGGACTTCATAGCTTCCAACGCTCTAGATTTTGTCCCCAAAGAATAGCCCTAACTACACCACTGAGGACGGAGCCCTCCCTCTCAGCTTTTGGGTCACGCACCTGTCCATGAATCAGGAACATAGTCTTTCATCTCCACATAGACAAACAGTGAGGGCATCGTAAGTGGCATGTTGGTCTCACTACGAAGGCAAACATGGTGATACCCTAAAAGAGAGAGCACATATTTCCCAATTAGTAAGAAGACAGACTGAACAAAGGTGACAAACAAAGTGCTATTGGGCACTCTGGGTTTGGAAAATGGGAAAGACAACCAGAAATGAACCTAGTAAATAAGGTGTAGCAAGTCACCTAAAGTGGTGGAGTTTACACACCCATAAGAATATGTCTTTGATCTTTTATATGTCTTTGATGCCTATAAAGCATGCTTTCCAAGTATTATACAAAGTCAAATCCAATGATGATAATGCTGCAATTTTTTAAAAATGCAACTGTCTTAAACACTCAGAAAACAACAGCTAAATGCAAGAGATAAAAAACTGCAACTTTATCATAGGGCCCATGATAACAAGCTATTAAGAGGTCTGAAAAAAATTATACAAAGCCTTAGCTTGGCCACAAAAGGGAAAACCAGGTGAGTTTCCCTAAGAAGAACTTTCCGTAACTGAGGAAAGTTATGGAAACCACTGAAAAGCCCCTCCCCTTAAAGCCGTGCCCCAACCTTCAGACTGAGGGTGCATGGAAAAGGATTTCTGTAGCTGACCTTAAGGCACATACAGGAAGGCTCATTCTGTCAGTCACTGGGCAAACTACTCAAAAGTCAGCACAGGCAAGAAAGGACTGCTGTAGAGAAATAATAGCATTGGAAGGAAACAGAGCTGACTATGAAGTACAATTCCCCATTACATTCTCCTGCACAAAGAGCATTGGAATTAGCAGAAGTGGAAGACCTATTCATTTCCATAAATTGTGCCCCACGTTAATTAGTAACTAAGGAGTATTACTTTAATTTTTGGCTTCTGGCACCAATATCTCTTGGGCCAGTGGTGGAAAGAACAATTCCATATATATGCTCACTAAGAATAATATGATTGCCTGCATGAAAATAAGAAAAGAATGTGGTGGAATATACTGGGCAGTAGAGGTACAGAAGCTTTATAATGAAATTACTGAAATGACTGGAAAGCTTTCATCTAAAAAGAAGCAAAAATGCTAGATTTTTAAGTTGACAAAGGAAATGGCCATGGGAAAGGTATATAAAAAGATGCGTAGTCTTTGCTAAAGACTAAAGCTTTAGTCCTATGCATGCTTAAACAGAAAAAAATCACAGCCTGTCCAAGGGTGGGGCTAGCTGGACACTGTAAGCCTTTATTCTGTCTAAACATGTCCAGGACTGCAATTTCAGGGGCCAAATGTGCTTTCTCATGACATGCAGTCCTCAGCCCATGGCTGCCACCTCCCTGACACTCATCCACAGAGCCAGTCTATGCTGCATATGTCGGCATGTGGCAAATCGTAAGGCTAGCATGATGAGCACAGGCTGCGTGCCCAGAAGGAACAGTGCAGGCTCAGGTGCTTCAGTGTGCATTGCTGATGTTTTATTAAGGGTGGCACCACTTTAACAGCAAATGAGTGTGGGAAACCACCCATGAAGGATAACTCGGAGCCTCAGGAAGCTGGAGATGGAGAATAAAGGACAGACTGAAGAAAGTACTGTGGAATTTATTCCTTCTTTGCTCATATATGCTTCCTGCACAGCATTCATTTGAAATAAGATCCTAACCTCAATGTTCCATTGTTCTGACCTTCTCCTATCCCTATTCTTGTCACCACATGAAGGACATAAGGATTCATGTGCAGAAATTACTAATCAATGGAGCTGATCTAGTGAAGAAGTTGGTTGATTCTTGGTGGTAGCAAACATGGTTGTCTCTCACCTGTGCACACAGCAGTGATGGGAATGATGCGATGGCCTATGAACTTCCCTCCTTCTTCCAAAGCCGCAATTCTGAGAGAAGCCAGCTCTGGCATCAGAATCTGAAATGAAAAAGCTCTTCTCTTAAATCGCTCATCCTAAATTCAACTCCACAAGCTTCTGCCATGTTGAGCAGCTAATATTCTGAAAGAGAGAATGGAACCCACAAGGATCACAAGCTCCTGAATTCTCTGAGCATTAGGCATTGGTTCATTCTGTCTTAGATCTTAGAAAATGCAAACTTTAATAACAATTTCTAATCCATGAAATCTTTGAGAAAATCAGATGTGGATCTTAATAAAGGAGCATGTGACTCCTGGCAATTTTTCCATGTGTACGCAGTGGCTTGTACCCAATATTAGCCCTGCACAGAAGTTTTCTACATGAGGCTGTTAATTTCCTGTATCTACTTTCAGTTTCATCTAAGAACTGAGATCTGACCTTTCCCTTTTCTGTTTTTCCACTACATAATCTCTAGGTGGTGCTTTTTCTTTTAAAATGATTCTCAATTTTTCCTGTTCCAAACTCCTCTGCAACCTCTTGAAAAATAGAAATGAAATTGGAGGGTCACGAGCTAAAGAATCCATAAACAACCACAAGCAAGGAACAATGAGCACACAATAAATGCTGTGTGTAGAAAAGCTTTTAGATTAGACCCATTAATGAATCAGGCTTGAATTAGTCATGGATATAACCCATGGTTCTCTCTCCAGAAATTGCTGCTGATGGTTTGTAAAGGAAACTTTTCTCAGTCTGTAAATGCCTAGAACCAACAGGAAAAAATTATCCTTGGCAGAGACTTTTTAAAACATTAGCTGCTGTTACCTTTTCAAATACAAAAGCATCTTCCTTCCACATAGGGTTGATTGAATTTGCATTTGGTGTCAGCTTGGTTCTGTATCTGCGTTTTGGATCACTTGGCAGCCCAAATAATTCCACTTCTACATATGATCTGATACTACGTTCTGAGAGGAACTGGCCAGAAATGATCTAACAATATATGGAAACAAAATCACCACAGTATTCCAGCATCTGGTGTTCCTTTGCATCAGTACTTTTACCATTCATAGGCATTTCCCATTAGTCCTTGCACATTTGCTTGCTTAAATAATTTATATTGCCCACGTGCCAAAGCTCTCTCCCTTCCCTTCACTTCTTAAATGGCTCATAAAATACATTTATGTTGGTATTTTACAGTAGTAATGCTGCTACAAAGCCCCGCAATAAAATCAACGTTATGCAACAGATAAAAGTGCCAATATGGTATAAAGTACAGTAGCTAAGTTCATGTGGCACTTTAAAGCCTGAGGTGGCTTATAAACCACTCTGGACTTAAATATAGTGTGAGGTCCCTGCTGTGGCTCACAAACCATTGGGCACAGCAGGGTCCTGAGACACGTCTCCCCCCGCCCCCTCCCCCTTACGCAGGTCACCAAGGTAGCACTGAGAGAGCAGGAATCCTGCCAAGTGGCTGTGATGGTAGGAAGGGGGTGAGCTGTGCTTGCCAAGCAATACTCTGCCAGAAGAGGCAGCATAGCACTGCATGGGGGATCCACAGCAGCACTGGAGGAGGCCCACCGGAAAGCAGCTCTTCCAGCAGGTGGCCATAGCAGCATAGAGAGCACCTGACCGAACAGAGGGCATCTGGGAACTGCCCTAGGGCAGCTTGGGTGGCTGGCATTGGCCAGAGCTGCTTGCCAGAGCAGCAAGCCCTTTTCACCATTCTTGCCAAGCTGCTCTATAGTGGTTTTTGCCTCCCCTGAACTTTAAATGTGGTCTGAGTTTATAAGCCACCCCACCAGGCCATGGTTCATTCTAGGGTTTCACATGCACCCCTGGGTTTGCTGTGTTGTATGAACCCAACTGACAAAACAAGCCCAGTGGCGGGAAGGGCTGGTGACTCCTGTGTCAGTGGGGCTCCTCCGGCACTGCAGCCTGCATCTGGAGCTCTATAGGAGCTATCCGTGATGCTGAACTGCTTCTCCCAACGCAGTTCAGCACTGCGAAGTACAGTGGATGAGGAGTCGCACTGACACAGCTGAGCCTGCCCAGGGAGAGCAGAAACAGAGCCACTTAGCAAGAGGGGGCTTACATCCTTACTGCTCTAGCCAACCCGCTCTGGCCAAGCACTGATGACAGCTGCCCAACGTGCCCACGTGGTTGTCAACAACTCCCCATCTGCCACAGCCATTGGTCCACCAAGAGGCCATGGTGTTCAGCAGGAGAGCTCACCCTGCTTGGTGAGGTCTAGAGGTAGGCAAGCAGAGTGTGGCTCAACTCTCCCTGCCTGGTTTAAGCCACCAAGTAGCTGTGGCACCAGACAGAAGCAGCAGAGTCGGACAGCACTGTTACTGCTCCCTGCAGAGGTGACTGGTTTAAGCTGCCTCTGCCAACAGCAGCAGCAGCACCCACGGCCCTTGTGGCAGCTCATGAGGTCTACTCACAAGCTGAGGTGAGTGATGTCAGCAGTCTCGGCTCCCCCCACCTGCCCCTGCTGACAGTGTCCCCTGGGAAACCTGTGGGAGGATTGAGAGAGGAAGACTGGGCAGGAGGTGTCTCAGGACCCTTGCTGTGCCAAATCGTTTGTCAGGCACATAAGGGGCCCAGGCTAAGTAGCTGCAGAGCTTCTAAGCTACCCTGGGCTTTTCCCATTGGGTAAACCTGCACAGTGTGGTATAGGAGGTAAAACCATAGTGCATGAATTAGGATAATGAAACACAAAAATGCCAAAAGATTTTAAAAGGCTTTAACAGGAAAGTCTTTCCTGAGGAACAGGAAAATCAGCCTGGTGCTCATAAGATAGCAGAGCTTCCTTTGGGAGAGCATTCCAGAGCTGGGGGACCACCAGCTTGTACCACTTCGTGTCATGTTCAGCAAATGCTCATGGTTCATTGGCTCCTGGCACTATGTTGCTGCAAGATACAGCTGACAGAATTTAGTGACTGCTCCTGCAGAATGAAGACTCACGGCTGGCTGGAAGTTGTAATGTCAGGAAAAAGAATTGTAGGTTAGATTTTCTTTAGAAGGCTGGATTTCTACATACACATACATTTTACTAATGGTGGAGTGAGGGTACTTTTCATGAGCTCCTTGCCCACCTTCCAAAGAAACCCCCTATCAAAGGGGAGAATGACTCCAGAGGAATGTGTTTTGTGCATTCATTGTGAGAATGTGATGCAAGAAACACTGTCCTCATTCTGAATTCTCTTTACTTGATCTCTGCTACATCACCACATGCCCTACTCTGATTGTCAATGTGACAAATCCCAGGAATGATTTAAAAGCAGCAACATTGGCCAAAAGCAGCCATTGATCCAGACCACAAACGAGAGGAAACAAAGTGAGCAAAAACTGGGTTGGGGGAACATTTCAGTCCCCTGAAACCATTTCTTTTCACACGGAAGATATAAACTTGAACATCTACTGCAGTAGTATGGGGAGGAGCCTTCACACGGGTTCTTCCACCCAGACATGAAGCTTTACAATGCCTGAATTGTTGATATAGCAATGATTCATCCGAAGGTATACTTCAACTCTGATTTTTTTTTTTCAGGGGGGTTGCTTTAGTAATACTTGCATCAAGCTGTTTCTATTGGTGTAGCTAGAGTGCTTCAGTGAGGCATATGTTAATTTTCCATTATCATGTGAATCATTCCCTAGACTGAGTTTTTAAAGAAACAGTCTTCCATAAAGCCATCTTCCCACAGGGCACTCTAGAATAATTTTTGCCTTAAGGCCCCTGCTAAATGGTAAATATGTTGGTGCCTCTGGTAAAAGTGGCTGCAGGTCCCAAATTAATCTGGTGGTGTTACTTACTGTTATTGAGAGTGTGCTTGCCACCACCACATCAATGCAGTTCACAGAGAAAGGGTCAAATTGCTTATCTGGGCGACGCATGAAGTCATGTTTGAGGAGGTAGCCACTCTGCCCATTGAATTCAAAGAGGGCCATGTTCTGCTGCATAGGGACATCTGTGAGGGGATAAGCAGCAACAGGAGCCTCTGTTAACAAAAATATCTACATGTTTTCTTCATACAGTATACCTTAATATTAAGAACTATTCTAAACCACCTAGAGGGCTTCAGCTACTGGGCAGTGTAGAAACATAATTAATTAATTCAAGCAGATAAGGTGGGATCAAAGTCCATCACGTGCTTTACACAAAGAGCTTAGTGAGCTTTGTGCAAACATCACAGCACCACATACCACAGAATATCCCTAGTGTTTCAAATGCTGTGACATCTTTATGGAACAGGAGTGCAACTCCATAAAGGTCAACTTAGAAGTCAGTCTTACTGAGTTCAGTGGGACTTGCTCCCAAATAGAAGTGTACAGATAGCAGTGTAACTGATTTGTTGTGACATTTGGTTTTCTCAGGCAATAGCCTACTTTATCAGATGCTTCATGATTTAGGGATGCTTCGTGAATAATGTTTTTTCCTCCAAAGATATCACATTTGCACAGGAATAAGTATGGCTACTACTCTGTAGTTTGACACATGGAAATATGATGGAAGAGACATATCTATATCTGGCGCATGATGATGCATCTGTTTTTTGCTATGTGAAAGTGAATGGTGAACTGGAGATAATGTGGAAACAGCATCCTTGGATTGTTCTTCTTTTCTAGAAAATTCTGGCAAAAGTTTCTGCCAGAATAAATTGTTATCCTTTAAAGCACAACAAGATTGTTTGCAGGTTTTGCTGCAATGAACTAATATGGCCTCACATCTGGAAATGGTTTAAAATGTAAGCAAAAGGGCACTGTGTTTTCCACTCCCATGTCATCCCACATGTTCTCTCTTCTATCACCCCACCTGCACTTTGATTTTCTCATTTACTTTTCTTCCCTGTCAGCTTTGATTCATTCTAACACCCAGAATGAAAGCCCTCCAAGAAGCCCTGTCCATAATAGCTCTTCAGAGTTCAAGGCTGAGGCTTCTTTTATGGATTCAAGTCATCTCTTATTTGGTCTTCTTTTACTTCTTCTGCCTTTGATTTTCCCTAGCATGGTTGTCTTCTCCAGTGATTCTGGCCTTCTCATGATGTGTCCAAAGTTTGGCAGCCTCCGTTTTGTTACTTTTGCTTCTAGGGAAAAGCTCTGGCTTGATTTAATCTAGGACCCACTTGTTTGCCTTTCTGTCAGTCCAGGATATTTATAACCTGCTCCAGCACTATGTTTCAAATGCATCTATTTTCTTCCTGTAAGCTTTTTTCACTGTCCAATATTCACACCCACATATATTCAGCTGCAATCTTGCTTAAATATCTTCCCACAGTATCCCAGATTAATTGGACAGAATGGACCTTGCTCCTTTCCAGCTGTTCACTTTATCCCTTTTTTAGCGTTTTACTCTTCCCCTCCCTCTGCAATTTTGCTCTTTTGTGCCTAGGCGGAAGATAAGGAATCTTGAAATCCTTGAAGGAAATGGGGAATCTGAAAGCTGGAGTCACAGGAGGAAACTTGAACTATGCCCTCTCTGTCTTTTCCTAATAAAATGAGAGTAGGCCAAACTATGCAGAACTCAGCTATGAGGGAAGTCACTGGCACTGCATAGCACAACTAAGGACTTCTCCATCAGGGCAAGTTGTGCTGATTGGAGGCATCCACAACCTGCTCTGACTTGCCAGGTCAGTATGGTAACAAGCAGCTGGAAATAAGATTGGCATGGCCAACATGCAGAAACTGCTGATTATCAAGATAAAGTGCAGCAGCACCAGTGCCGACTGCAGGAGACTCCAGTTCCACTTTCCCATTTCAAATATGCTTTCGAATAGAGCATCCTGAGAATTGCATTTCTGAACTGTTGTGCCTGTCCACTCCCCTTGTTTTATTAGTAGACCTTTGTGTTTGGTCTTCTCCTCTTCTCAGTTTATTTTGTGAGTCTTGCTACTGCTCTAAATATACTGTCTACTGTCCTGCCTTTGTAGCAGTCCTCATGCAGACCCTCCATTGTTCTTCTTTTCCTCCCTTTCTGTCTGGAAGTTCCGGCTTCCTTCTCTGTTTCCCAAAGCCCCTGGTCTGTTCTCTGCTTCGCCTGTATTTCCAGTGCTGAGACATTCTGAGTCCTGTGGCACAGCCATGTACATCATGGACAAAAAGCCTCTCTTCTTATCAGTCCTATTTTATCAATATTGCCCAGTGCTGTCAGATATGTATTTAAGATTGGTTTGAATAAAGGAGAAAAAGTTATTTTCCTACTATAGTTAAATCCATGTGATGACATAGGTACAAATTCATAGGAAAGTTTAACCTTGGGTAGTTAACAGGGAGAAGTGATTTGCACTAGTCAATTTTTTTCTAATCTGCTTGCCTCCCCTGGACTTGTCCTTGAGGCTCTCTGAGCCACTTGCACATTTTGGGGCACCCAAATTTCATCATTCCCCACTCTGCCTGCTGCAGCCCCCTGCACCAAATCCATCCTCTTTCAGAGGCCCCCACAATTTTTGAGGGCAGCTTTGGAGATGGGGTAGGGGCCTTAAACAGGTACGGGGAATTAACAAAAACCTAGTATGTGAAATGACATGAACGAAAGCACTTTCCCTTAAGCTACCAGAGGATACAAACTTCAACACACATGTGGAAATATGTATGGATGTTTATGGAGCTTATGGAAAGATTTCTAATTAGGAGGTTTGGCAGTATAACAGAAACATTCAGTTAAAAAAATAAATGAATGACAGGGTATGGGGCATTGCAATGGATTGCAAAAGAAGAAAAGGCAGGGAGAAAAACAAACAGCCAAACACCAAGGCAGCTGTGGTAAAATTAAAACAAATAAAAGAGACAGAAAATTTATGAAAGGAAATCAGCACAAACCCAGACAGGAAGAGACTGTGGGTGGTTCACAACTGACCTGCTGTCTGGAAGTTTAAAGCTACCATTTGGCAGCCAACATTCCAGAACATCTGAGGCATGTAGTTAGAAGAATCCATCCGAGTACCCTTGGGATAAATTCGGCTCATCTGCCTCTTGTTATAGCTGAATGTCCGTAATAGGAGGCCAGTCTCCAAAGATTATTGCAGTAGACATGCCCTGCGAGTAGCTGGATTGTTTTTGGATGACAGCAAGAACTTGCAGAGTTCCTCTATGGAAGTCACTTCTCTGGAAGAAGCTACATGAAGGTCATCACATCTGTCATGCATATACAGATTTTGCTATGACTGGGATGTGATTGCACAGCACATGTATATCCCAGGCCCCTATCTGGAAAATAATTCATTCATCCATCTTTGTAACCTAGATCTCACTGTAATATTAACAGGTGCAGATTCTCCACAGCTTAGATGTCTGCAGAGAAATAACTTCATATAACTCAAAACACAGAGAAAGCAACAGCTCCATCAGGTCACTGGCTGACCTGGGCTGAAAGAAAATACCCTCCTAAACCTGTTATATAAATTCTTTAGTTGTCAAGGATCTTGATGCCCTGGAATGCAATGTGTGTACAAGCAGGATACAGGCAAGTGCAGAAGTATTTTAAGAGAAGAAGGTCCTGTGGGAGAATTATCTGTAGCCACCATCTCCATTTGAGGGTCAAACTACATGACAGAACCTCTATTCAGGCATTCTGTAAGTGGACAAACACAATGTGAAAGCAGAAAGTGTGTGTGAACCCTGGAGTTGTGACATTCTTTGCCCTCCTTTTCTGAAACATGCTGTGAGGTGGCAGAACTAATGTCTGCTTCTCCACAAGTGCTTAATTTGACTGCTTAGAGAATGCCTAAATAGACAATTCTTTTACCTGCACTTTTAGAAAACCCAAGGCAGTCTGCAGGGCTTGGGGGTCAGAAGAAGGAAGGGTGGGGAAAGGCTACTGACTCCTTGATCCCTGTCGATTCACAGATTTTTTTACCTGTGGTAAGAAAGGTATAGGAAAGAAACTGGAACCCTACTTTTTTTTTAAGGTGGATGATAATGCAGTTTAGGGAGGGTGATTTTGAAATGGCAAAGGTCTGGGGGGAGGGAAAAGAATTAGATGTTCCCCTTCTTTCTATTCAGATACAGTCTGTCCCAGGTCTGCTTTGAGTGCAACACAAATGAAGGAAAGACTTACACAAATGAACTCCATACAATATATATTTTGAACCTCAGAAATAAAGGCTGATGCTGTTGCAAAATAGTCTGGCACTTCATTCGGGTAAAGGAAGACAGGAAAATGAAGCCTGTAATGTGTACTAAAGATTGGGGCAAAAATACTTCTGCTACTCACTGTGGTTATTTTAATTTTCATCTATCTAGAGAAACATTAGCAAAGGTTTTGCTGGTACAGCATCTTCAGAAGCTTGAACAATCATAACATCTCCAAGAAAGGAGGATTCAACCTCTTCAGGCACTTGGTTTAGTGGCTGGAGGGCTGAACTGGTACTCGGGAGTTCTGGGATCTAGTCCTCACTCAGCCAGCCCACTGGCGTCCACTCAGTGACTCTGGTCCAGTCACTGCCTCTCAGCCTAACCTATCTCACAGGTTGTTGTTGCTGATGTTGTGAGGATTAAATGTAGAGGAAGAGAGCCTTTTAAGTTTCCTTGAGTTCCTTGCAAGAGGAAGAAAGGTGGGGTAGGAATGCAGTCTAATGATGAGGATGATGATAATATTGCCAAATAGCTTTTAAATATTTCCGTAAAACTTAATCTCACCATGTTGCACAACTAATAGTTGATTCTGTGGGAATCTGTCAGGTACACATATATGTGACATTACTGAGGAAAATCCATTCTGTGAACCAGCCTTCAGTCATGGAAGATGACCAGCTATATGTGACTGAATGGGAAGAAACTTTTGGGTAGTTAAGAATTCTTTATCACTGGGCAAATGCACTAAAAAGGATACTCCACAAACTGGATGGGGGATTTGGTCAAGAGCTCATAAGCCTTCATTTCGGTGAAGGAAGAAACCACATAACTTCGATTCTTCTCTGGAAAAGCAAGCAAGGTAAATGTAGAACAAAGGAATACTCCATCTCAAGACCCTCCTGTTCTTCAACACACATCTCCAGGTTAGTCCATCACTCATATTTTTAGAAAAGCTGTTTCTTTGATAGAAACGACTTTCAACCCTGTTCCATTTCTAGCCTCTTGCATGATTGTTTCTTCTCCTGGAATTTTATGCAGCCTGAAATTTTTAAATGTAGCCGTAGAGGGTAGATTTGATGGGGATTGCAGTCCCAAATGTTTGAAGGACACCAGGGTTTTTGTATTTATGCTAGTGAATCACCACCAACCTCCTGTTTTCCCTCCCAGTGTCCCTCCCCCAACAATAAGTGAAGATGAAGGTCTACTTCAAACATGCAAAAGCTTCAGCATAGATAGTGTTTCCCTACAAGAAGAAAACATTACAATATGCTCTTTGCTGCATGTCAGCTTAAATACTAATTGTGCATCAGTTGTACAATTGCAGAACTGCAGTGCAAAAGATTTGTCCTTTAGGAGTTATGTAGAAATTACATAGATGTGTGACAAAAAACCTTAACATGGGGTAGGTAACCTGGTGCCCTGCAGCTGTTGTGGAATATACTTTACATCATATTACAGCTCCAGCCAACGTGGCTGATAGCGAAGAGCCTGTAGTCCAAAACATCTGGAGGGTACTGAGTTGCATAGTATTTGGGTTTTTTATTTAAGGAAATGTGGTTTCCAGAGTGGTTAATTTGGAGCATGGAAGCAGCAGTTCTTAAGATTTCTCCTGGCCACCATCTCTCTGCTCCAAATTGTCATTGCAGGCCATTTTTTGCTATATATGGTTCCAAAAGCACTTAGAAGAGGGAAGATGACATCCAGGCATTATCTTAGACTTGCTCTACCTCCTTGAAAACATTTAATTGGGAGAGGAAAAAAATGTCCTTACGTGCTGAGATTTCAAAACTTTCAAATTTGATGGGTTGGATGTAATTAACAAGGCTAGACATTTCTTCATAAGCGGTCACTTCCAGACCTGCAGTGCCCTAAGCAAAATTAGGAAAGTTAGAGGAAGTCACCTCAGATAACTTATATATAAACTCCAGTGGTAGGCAAAGTCCTAAACAATTAGACAGAATTCAAACAATGTCAGAGAGGGCCACATATTATTTATTACCTGCACTTTTATTGGGAATTTCAGGATAGCACCTCAGAAAAGCCTAATCCAGTGAGGGAAACATACACGTATAAAGCAGCCTTCCAGAGGCGTATCCCTGTTACATGACTGCTTTTGCAGAGGGAACAGGGCCTGGCTTTGATCTGATTTACTTGTTTCCTCCCCTCCCTTCCAATTGTCATCCTTCTGAGTGGTTGTGCAACAATGAAAAATACGTCAGTATGCCAAGAATTAAAACTTTCAGCCTTATCTCTAAATTTGCCGCAAGACACAGGCTCAAGCCACGAGGTCCCAGATTGTATCCCCAAAGATTGGAGGAATGAATCCCTGCCCCTTCCTACTAGACAACTGATTCCTGTGGTGGACAGGACAGGGTCCGTCAGCTGCAAGCACACACAGACCAAATATCATAAATACAGTGAAGGTTACAGTGCAAGCTCCTTGCTTCTCCATTTCAGCTGGACTTTGCCAGTGGCAGTACTTCTACAAAAGGGTCTTAATTTTTCCAGCAGATCTATACAGAAGGTAAAGAAGGAAATGGAGGGCTTTTTACAAAGAAAAGAAAAGCAAATAAAACCAAAAGAATGTGTGTTGAGTCTGCCAACAGCAGAATCAGTAAAAGAAATTTCTCCCAAATGTTCTCCAAAACCTCAGTCAGTCATTTTAGGCCACAAATCCAACCTCGCAGAGAATTGGGTTAATTTTTCTTCTCATAAATAGAGACATGTCTTGAAGTGGTTCAGCAGCTACTCTTGAACCATCCTCCACTTGATACAGAGACTTATAGTAACTATCAACCAAACATCAATGCCCCATTTTTGGGTAAGATGCCTGAGTGAGTGGTGGGGTCTCAGTTGGAGGCAGTCTTAAATCCAACTGATTAACTTGATCCATTCAGTTTGGGTTTAGGTCTGGTTTGGGATCAGAATTAACTATGGTGGATGACCTTCTTCATGAGATAGACAAGGGAAATATGACCCTATTAATTCTTCCTGAGCTCTCAGTGGCTTTTAATACCATTGACCACACAGTATTCTCCTGGACCGCCTCTATGGGTTCGGTCTACCATCTCACAGAGGTTTGCTGTTATTTAATAAGCTTGTGTCCAAATAATAACATCAGAGGACTGCCTCAGTCCCCCAGCAATTGAGCAGTGAGGTACCACAGGACACTCTTCTGTCCCCAGTGCTAGTTAACCTCTGCTGAGTGTGCTTTTAAATGTTCTTAATTGTTCCTAATTATTTATTATTTTTATCTTACTTTTGTATGGTTATATCATATTTTAATGTAACCTGCCTAGGAATTTTAAGTGGTACAGTAGCATTGAAATAAAAATAAAATACATACTGTGCACCATAAAGGGCAATACATTAAAAGGCCCCATTGATCCAGCCTCTGTCCATCTCGGTTGTTTAAACAAAGAGGAAAATCCTGCACATAAACTTGAACTTACGAGAGACCCCAAAACAAGACATCAGAACAATCAATGTACATTCAGATTAAGAATTTGAATTTGAGAGGAGCTTGCTAGATCGTTCCAGAGGCCAGCAGTGTGTTTTTACATTGCCCAGCTAGTTCTGCAATGGGAAACACACAAATAGGATAAGTGTGTATTAGCATCCTCTACTCACATTCCCCGGGAACTGGTGCACATGACGGACATATTGCCTGTGAAACTGGAGGTACTGTGTGACCATCAGGACTAGTAACCTTTGATACCCTTCTGCTTCACCTTTCAAAGCTCACCTTTCAAAGCAATCCAAATTGGTGGCCACTCATCACTACATCTTGTGATAGAGAATCACATAGTTTCACTTTGTGCTGAGTAAAGAATTACTTCCTTGTATCTATCCTGAACCTCCCACCGGCTTCATGGGAGGAGCCCTTTGGGTTCTAGAGAAGGAGAGGAAAAATCTGTGTAATTTTATACAGGTGCCATAACTCCTTTAATCACCTCTTCTCTAAGCTAAACATCCTGAAATGTAGGTTTTTCTTGGAAGTTCGTGTAGCCACTGGATTATTTTGATGCCCCTTCTGGCACTTTTTCAAGTTAAAAATATTATTTTTTAGGTGCAGCAACCAGAACAATAAACAATATTCTGACAGCTCCCACATTATACATTTGTATTAAGTCAATATAAGGCACTATAATATTAGTTGTTTTATTTTCAGTTCCTAGACTAGTTCCACAAGAGTAGTAATCATACCTCATCCGACTGCAGCTTTTTCATCTCTTCTTCATTCAGTTTTCCCAAGTCTCCTTCTACTTCAGGCACCTCTTCAGTCAACTCTGCTGACCTGTCTGATCATTCAAAGCACAAATCAGTATGTTCATGAAGACCTACCAGCAACTGATCTAAAAGTTCCTTTGTCCATTTATGAAAATGTATTAATGCCCACAGCAACAGCATCCTAACAGAAGCAGAGGAATTGGCAATGGATTATTTTGCAGAGTCCTTGGAAGTCTCTAATAAAATTCTTCCAAGTGTAATTTTGTTCTGCTCCATCATTGTCCTCCAATTTCCTTGAAAGCAAGGTCCTTCCTCAACCTTGTGCCCTCAGGACGTGTGAGACTACAACCTCCCCCTCCATCTCCAGTGGCCATGCTGGCTCAGGTACTGTAGTCTCCACACATCTGGAGGGACCCAGTCTGAGGAAGGTTGCCTTATAATATGGTACCTGGGCTCTCTATAGGTGCGGCCTGCTCAGTTGCTTCATCCTCTAAGCTCTTCCTTTTCTTTAGAATATCCGGGTTCTCCCCAGGTATGAACTGGTTCTTTTTGTTCTTAATCAATATTTTTCGCATTAGATCCTGGGGGCTTGGCAGTGGAACTCCTGGTTTTAGCTAACAAACAAACAAACAAACAAAATCACACTATTAGAAAGCTTGATACAATTCCTCCCACCAAGATGCAGTTCAGGCTGCCAAGTTAACTGCATCTCAAGGTACTGTTTAATCATACAGTAATCGTCCTGTTTCCTAATGTGGCAACCTTGTTCACTTACTGGATTTTTTTCCAGTGGTTCTGTCAGCAGCATGTCCCCAAATATGCTTCTACAGTAGTCAGCCATTTTAGCCTGCTGCTTGGGCCTGTACAAAAATACCAGAAAGGAATAAAGCAGAGACAGGCAGACGAAGAGGAAAATAAGGAATGTTTATTGTTACACAACTAAGAAGCTGAAAGCCTTGTGGAGATCATTAGGAGATCTACTAGGAGATCCTGCTCTACCTTTTGCCCAGCCCTGAAATAAGACAGAAATATACTGAGGTTGCTATCAGCAGTAAAGTTTGGCATCTTCCGTGCTTCACACCCCAAAGTCCTTCTCTCTGTGTGTGTCTTATTTATGTTATTGCCACCCTGAGACACTGTAAAGGGCGGGACACAAAAATTCTAAACAAACAAACAATGTCATTTATTCTACCACGATCCAGTGGAGCATCAAATTGAAACAACACATTCAGGGAGCAAATAGCAGCTGAAAGGATATTTTTGGCCTTTACCCAAAAGCAGAGTAAATATGTAGTGGTCACTCTCATATTTAGGCTTCAATTTTTCCATCATGAATCATTTTTGTATCAAGAAAGATGGTAACAATGAACAAGTCTACACAATATCCTCACTGAAAGCATTGCTCAGCCCATCACCTTCCCATTTTCCAGAGTGAAAAATCTGCCTTTTTTCCAACAGAAAGTGCTTAATACTCACGAGTCCACATGATTTTCAAAAGACAAAATCACTGGGTAGGGAGAGGTTTTGAAAGCACTTTCTGCAATAGCCTCAATTGCATCCTATAGGAAAAAGGGGAAGGGAGAGACAGAGAGAGACAAAGTCTTATATGTTGTCCCTGGTTGGTACAGATTTCGGTTCTTGAAATCTGCAAATTTGTTATTTCACTAGAAATTCTGTGACTGTGCAGAGTTCCAATCCCGTGGCAGTTCACAACCAAGTTCAGCAAAATACAGTAACATTTCTTCTTTATTCCTTTTCATCAGTTGGGAGAAGTCAGGGGTACAATCAGTTCCATCAGGATGGTTTGCATGATCAAAATAAGCCATAGAGGCTTTTAAAAATCACAGTGTGTGCCAGTGATTTCCATAATGACTGCCCAATCCTGGGCAGCATTGAGAAGGAAAGAACCTCAAGTAACCCGCAGGCTTTTGCTTTCCTCTCCAACAAGCTATGCAGTCTAGGTTCAGATGGCACAGCAAGCCATGCTCCTAGGGTGATTATGGAAATTGGCCTGGCATACATTTTAAATAAGTCATGGGAGTTTATTCTGACCCCACAAAACAGGTCATTGTATTAACATCTGAAGGGAGCTTTTGTTCCCAAAGAGGCCTTGTCTTGGATGAATGATATCATAATTCATAATACATGTTTTGCAGATTGAAAGACCCAAACGCAGTCCCTGATAGCATCTCCAGGTAGGGGTTGAAAAACTCTGTTTGAAATGCTCAGGAGCTGCTACCAGTCAGTCACCTGCACTAAGTTGGATGGACCAATAATCAGAGTAAGGCAGTTTTCAGTACCCTGAATGTATACTCAGCAGACAACTGTAGACAGTTGCAGTTCTGTGATGAGCCAATACATTTGTAAGTGCACATCACTGAACTCATGCTTTACATTTTTCTGTAAATATTTGAGCCTTCTTTATGTGAGATTTATTCCACAGCTTTGCTGAGGCTTCTTTCATTTTTGTTGCAGGAGTAAAAATATGTTGCTTACATGGGAGTTTTTCCAGTGCATTGTATTTTTCTGCATTTCTACATTTTCTGTTACCCAACTAGAAGGAGGGTCTGTGTTATAGCACACTGTAGTGGATTTGCACCTCCCATAAGGATTTTGATCTGGTGCATTGCAGTTGAAAATTAAATACCTTGCAAATACCCTGCTCAAAACCAACCTAAGAAGACTGCAGAAACACAGGAGAGACTTTGGAGGATGATAAAATTAAGAAAAGGCTCCACAAACTTGTGTGAACAAGGGATCATGGGAGCAGAATAAAGGCTTTGTGTAGAGAAGGTCTCAAAATGCCTTAAGTGTGCAAAATGCTCCCCAGAGACCAACAGTTCAGGACATTTAGCTACATCCATGAGTGCTAACTTTCCCAAAGCAAATCCAGCAGACAGTTCCTTGGCATTATTTATTTATTCAGAAACAATATTTCTTGCAAAACCTCCATTCATCTGCCATTAACTTTTCTTTATTCCTCTGGTAATTGGTAGGTTACATTTGCACTGCTTTCCCTACAATTATCCGCCTTTTCTTTCTCTGTTCACTCTATGACATTGTGCAACTGTAAACTATATTATTTGATAACAGCACATAACCGTTCAGTGGCAAACAGAACTCTTGGTACCATATGCAGCATTGGGAAAGTCAACTGGATCTAACCAGGGATTGTCATGGCTCCAAGGTTCCATATTACCTCTTGAAAGCAACTCATCTGGACTGAGTAAGCAGTGGATGGCTGGGGGAGGCTGCAGCTTGAACTACCTTTCAAAGAGTGTTGTGGGTTCAAAATAGGAGAGAGTTACCTCCCCAGGCCACAGCTATTTTGGAAAGGAAGACAGCCATAGGAAGGAATGGGAGAGGGGAGGATCCATATCCGTTATGTAAGCTAGAATGAAAGGTGCATGCTGTGCTAATGACCTGCAATTCTTTTGCAAGATTCATTGTTGTGGTGTGGAGCAATCCTTCCATGCAATTATAGCTCCAGTGAAACACAATGGGCGCTATTTTCTCTGCACATTGTGTGCTGCCATGTCAAGGTACCTATGATGTCATAAGATTGTGAAGGTAAAATTATGAACATTAAAATCTGCAAGCATACTAAACGAGTTAATCATTAGAGGGGGAAGAGCCTTTTATCCTTCTTTATGCCCTACTGCAAGAAGGGCTGACAGCACTGTAGGGTGGCTACTTACACAGAGCCAAAAAAAGAAAACAAAGAGGGCACCAATTTGTACAAAAATTGCATAGATTCACATTTAGAAAGAGTTACTATAAATTAAATAGAACTTTGGTACATCTCACTGCAATGGGCAAGTCTATTACCAGGTGACTTATGCATCTGCCCCATCTCCTACCCAGGCCTTAATTGCTGATGAGCATCCTCAGGGCCGCTGCTGCTTTCTCTTCTTTTGGTTCTTCACCTTTAAACCAGACTTGGCCTACACAGCCCTTCAAACTGAAGATGCCCTCAAACAGAAGGCAGGCTCCTGACAGCACTTCAAACAAAGGACTGCCATCTGTACAAGACACATAGCTATGCAAGACACAAATTCCTTCTTTTGTTCAAGGCTCTGACCAGAAGAAAACTGTGCAGGGTCTTCAAGAGGGTGGTAATAGGTGGAGGGAAGATAACCTGGGGAGTAAGCAGGATTCTTGACCATTTATCATGTAGTCACATTATTAATGATGGACACATCTGTAGTATGATACATGCATATAGAAGTTCCTGTGTTTTGACATTCTTATATCTCTGTGTCTTGTTTAGTGCCACATTAAAACTACTGACACTGAAAATGGCCAAAGCAAACAAACAGGAGATTTACGCTAGATCCTCTTCTATTTATGAGGGAACACAGTCACAGTATTCATGCAAAATGAGTTTATCACAGTTGGGCACATACTAATGAATACAGTGTAATGACACAAGGTGAGCGTGTATTGCATGCAAATGCAATTGTGGGAGAAGCTACAAAACTGGAAAGGGAATAAGTGCAGGGAAGTGAGTTTTCTGTGGATTTGCATATTTTTAGGCTCAGTTAGCTATGTGAAGGTGTCAAGGATGAATGTCAAGGATGAAGGTGTCAAGAATGAAAGACAGCTCATGGAGAAGGAGACAGTGTGTTGCTGCTTGCTCCTGTGTTCCCAACTTGCATGGGATGAAGCCAGAAGGACCAGCGGCCCCATTTCCTTCCACCCAAATGCAAACAAGTACTCTCCTCCTCTGTAGACTTCCCCACAAGTTGGCTCCATTAAAGTCAGTGTGGCCTAATTGTGAACAGGGCCAGTAAAGATAACCTGATTTATTTCTGAGTGGAATGGATTCCAGCTACTTGCTTCTTGAGCAACAGGACAAAGGAGACAACTGGGAAGGCTTGAAAAGTTTCTTAATTTTTTTCAAAGGGAGGGAGCATTTGCCAGGCAGAGAGACAGTGAAGATGACTAGTGGGGGGGGGGGGGGTTCAAAGGAAGGGGAAAAACCAATGAGCGTCTCTGGCTTGTTGCCACTTTACTGCACCTCTGCTAGAAGACTTCCTTCCCCACCCACCTTGGCAGTCCAAGGGCTAAATGAAACCATTTCTTGCAGACCACAGAACAGTACCACAAGCTTAGCACACACAAATATATTGAGAGAAAACCACAATATATATAAAGAAACTGTGATATAACAGGCTGTCTTGGGAGAAATAGTGCAAGAGAATAGGTTGAGTCAGGTATTGCAAAGCCAATAAAAATGCCTGATGTGGATTTGCCCAAAGTTTTCCTACAGGAGGCATTTTTGTACAGTTATCATTGGCTATTGGTATTTCGGGATTCTTTAAATGACATTGTGAGCCTTCAGTTTCACTTATGTGTGTGAAGATCACTTTGGTGTGATTTTTTAAAACAAGGAAAGTACTTTAAAATGGAAAGTGGAAAAGCAAATGGAAATGTTCTTTGTGCAGGACCCGGATCTCAGTTCTGCAATGAAACTGAAAATAGCTATATCCCAGCAACAGTTTCCTGTGTAAAAGTCCAAAAGGAGAACCAACAGAGATACATGTGAAGTTTTGTATGCATGGGGTAGAGAGGATGACAACAACCCAAAATCAGATGAGCTGGTTTGTATGAAGAATGCATAGCTTAGCTGTGCTATACATTAAACATATTGAGATATTATGTTTTGGATACATCAATAAAACCACAGTTTTCATATCACAGGAAGCAATAGTTCCACTGTATTCTAAAACACTCAGACCTCCTATCAAGTTCTGTATCTAGTTCTCGGTGCTGCACTTTTAAGAATTATATGGGCAAATTCAAGAATATTGTTACATGGTTTTCATTTGTCTTTTGGGATTTTATAAGCCATTCTTGAAATCTAATTGAATAGTGGAGTATAATTGCCTCAATCAAACAAGAGAAAAGTAAGTGGTCTTTACCTTGAACAATATTTCTGTTGTCATGGTGAACCCATGCGTGATGATCGGCTCCTCGTCTGGAGGGCGCCCCTTCCAGCAATCCAGTTCCACACAGCGGCAGCCAGCCAAAAGGGTCTGGCGATACATTTCAGGAGATGAGATTCCTGAAAACTGCCCAGCTGCAAAGAAGGGCAGAAGGAGGAAAGAGAAGTCTGACATTACACAGGGAGCCTCATTTTCCAATGTACTATAGAAGAAGAGAGGGAAGTATTTTTCTCTGCACACAAATATTCTAGTAAGCACCTTGGAGGCTCTTAGTGATCTAGGAAGCAGCCTCATTCTGTATCAAACTATTGCTCCATTTAGCCCAATCTGCCTACTCAGACAAGCATTGGCACTCCAGGATCTCAGGATCCTGAACACCTTTCACATCTGCTGCTGCCTGAATCTTTTTTAAAATGGAGATGCCAGGGACTGAACCGAGGACCTTCTCCAGGCAAACCACATGCTCTGTCACTGAAGTATGGTCCCATTCCCACTTCATTTAGCGATGGCCCTTGATGCCTGAGGCTATTACTTTCACCAAAAGAAGGGTGACCTCTTGTAGGCATCCACTTGCTCTCCTCCCCGTCATGCAAAAGCCACATCATATAAGGTTGAAACACCACACTACATTTTGAAGGTACAGGCTTTTGTTGCCAGCTGGCTTTTGGTCAGTAGATTTGGTCTGATAACTGTCACTGCCCATCACTCTCCAGCTGGAATACTTTACTGGTAGAGTTAGAACTAGAAATCATCAGGGCAGAGCAGAGATATTACTGGAAGGCCTGATACAACCTGTCCCCCCCCCCCCCCCGGCCCCTGTTTATCCCTGCAGAACTGCTCAGTGCTTGTACAAGAAGCCCCACCATGGTTCCCAATATGGAGCCGTGTGCATCATTAGCCTTTTGCAATAAAATAATAGTTAAAATGCGCATGTCTCTCTGCGGAGGCATACCTGTCAGGTAGGTGTTGTGGGATGAATTGATGAAATAGTGGGACAGTGGCTGGCTCATATCCTGGTGCAGCAATAGCTTGTCCTGGGACACTATGCTGTTTTCTGGGCCACACAGAAACCAGACCATTCCCTCTGGAGACAGCTGTCCTGTAAGATAAAGCAACATTATTACTGGTAGTGCAATACAAGACCTGAAGTAGCTGACCATGGCTGCTCCTGCTGCAGTTCTCTGTTGCAAGGTGCTGGACCTCAGGCTCTTGGGTCAAATTTGGCTTGCTGAAGATCCCAAAGCAGCCCCCTCAGATACCCCACATGGACCCTCCCCCTTCTTTGGCATCAGAGAAACATAGGACCGTAGAACCGTAGAGTTGGAAGGCCACAGAGTCCAACCTGTGGATCCTGCAGTGGACCAACTTTTTCTGAGTCATGAGGATTCTGCAGATATGGAGACCAGTTTTTTTAATGGCTGGGGGGATTTGTGTTAACTGTCAATGTGTATTAGTAAAAGTGTATGCAGACAATAGCTTCTTGCTTTGGCTCCTAACTCTTCCAGGTCAATGGAGGAGGAGAGAGAAACATTCTAAAATTTATTTATAAAATGAATAGCACTTTTCCATTGAAAATTCTGAACTGATAGACCAGACCTTAAAAATAGCTTCATTTACTAATAATTTAAAAAGTAGACATTACTTTCCATATGCAAAACCTGTGCTTTTTCGCTGACCAATGGCCTCCATTTTTACCATTTTAAGTGTCCCTTTGGTGCTTGTGTTGACTCTAGCTTTGGACTGATGACAAAAATTCATTCTGGTGGAAAAGGACTTACCTCTCTGAATATTCATCATACTGGGCTCATATTTCTCTATGAGATCCTGGACTTGCTCTGGCTTAGCTGGGGGGAAAAGCGTGTCATTGAGGTGGGAATCTCGCTGTTTCTTGTTGATAAATGTTGTCAGGTGATGTTTGGTCATGTATGGCTTGGCCTTTGAATGACTTAGGAAAGACAGTGGAAGGAGAAGAAAGAATATTCTTAGGTGCCTTGGAAAAACTCTCTTCAGCAGCAAGAACTTTTCCTAAATACCTTTGCATAGTTTTGATCTGATGTGCTTTTTCGTATACTTTCCTTGTCCAATATACTTTATGTGGGGTGACTGCAGTTTTCACATATTAGAGATTTATTTATTTATTTATTACTTTTCTATACCATCCCTTCACAGACATCTTGGGACAGTTCACAACAAATTAATAAAAGAATAAAAATAGAAATACGAGTGGCAGTTGCACAGCATCCGAGATACTGCTGGGATCACAGAGCTTCACAGAGATGAAGACTGAGATAAGTCTCTGGGTGTGTACATTGATGTATGTGGACCAAAATATATGTGTGAATGGAGTCAGAGTTATCACATGGGGGGGGGGATAGTGACTCCTACTCAGTGGGGATCCTCATCTATTGCAACTTTTAATTTGAGCTTTGCAGGAGCTATCAATGGTGCTGAATTCTGCCCCTAAAATAGGTGCAGCACCATCAGTCTATGAAGCTCCAAATAGAAACTGCTGTGGATAAGGAGACCTATGGACATAGGAGTCACTAGCCTTCCCCAGGGATAGTTTTGCCAGCTAATAAAAATGCATTTTGCTGGGTGGTTATTTGACTTTGGATTTACACCGCATGCAAACACACAGACTCCAAAGAGGCTGGTGTGAAACTAATAGCAATAGCACCGCAAGAACTGCCAAAATTTTTAAAAAGAGGAACTGTGCAAGGTTCTTAGTGTATCTCTCAGTCTCTCTCTGCACATGCAGTATCCCCGTCCTTGCCCTGTTGCACAAAGGAGGCTTACTGTGAAGTAAATATCTCGTCAATCTCTGGCCGAGGGCATAGTTTCATCAGGAATGTTTTGTACACAGATTCAGGGAAGTCTTCTGGATTGATACCATCATTCTGGAAACAAAAGATCAACCAAAGATCAACTCATGGTTGGTGTTGTGTTTATTTTATTTTATTTTTTATTTCCAACCGGCCCAATTTATACTGCTGTCTGAATGGTTTACAATTGACAAATACAGTACAAAATGCACATAACAATAAAAACATCATAAAGTTCATTGTCACAACTTTCAACGAGCTCCATTTCCACAATGAAATGTGCTGAAGGGGGCTTCCTGATTCTATTGGACTCTAGAGCCTGGACTCACAGGATAAAGTCTGTGCCTTAGGGCTGCTGCACAAATGGAGAGGATTTTTTGGTTTCAGTATTTTTGGTGTTAGTATTTCTTCATGTGTTTTGGGACTAAGACCTCATATTGAACACAAGATCCTTCTGAGGCTGAGCTCAGAGATTATTAAGGCTGGGACAGGTCTGCAGGGATCTACTGAGCTGCACACTGGAGCCCAAGTGGCCACTCAACCAAAGTCCTCCCCACTAAAAAAAAGGATAGAAAAAAAGCACAAGGATTTGTATGAAACTGTATGGGATTCTCTCTCTCTCTCTCTCTCTCTCTCTCTCTCTCTCTCTCTGTGTGTCTGTGTGTCTGTGTGTCTCTGTGTCTCTGTGTGCCTCTGTGTGCCTCTGTGTCTGTGAGTCTGTGTAGAGACAAATAAAGAAATTATTACTATAATTTAAATATAAATTCAACACTCTGTCTGTTGGAAGCCGTCCTGAGGCTTATGCGAATGGGACAGCATACAAAAACTCCAAACAAACAAACAAACAAACAAACAAATCTGGGTGCTAACTGATGAGCAATTTCAGGACCTTCACTGCTCTCTTAAAACTAAACTTCCAGGAAACCAGAAGCAGCTGGACTGAACAGCCCATCAGACAGAGGATACTTTCCAGCAGAGGACTGTCCTCTGACAGGTTGGTCTTCAAACAGAGAATTGTCTTCTGTAAAGTAGATCACATGGTTACCCTAACTGGAACAGCACATTTGGATGTCGCAATGTCTGAACTTGAAGCTGCTTAGCCAGCTGGGGAATGCTCGGAGTTGTAGGATTGTCAAATGCATAGGATTGCATCTTTAGTCATGCTTAGAGTTAGCTGGGAAAAAATAACTTACATTATTACTAACATAAATCCCTGATTTGAATGGGTTTGGTCTAAGTGTGACTAAGTCTGGATCTAACACAGTAAACCAATTTAATTCTGTACTGTAAATATGCTTAATGCCTATGACAGTGTAAACCAAGATGATACTCACTTTTCCCTTTGGAAGGTGGCAAGCACTTAATGCAGCTTCTACTCTTTTTCTGTCTGCAGGAAATGCTTGAAAAATACTGATGGATAAAGAAAAAAAAGTAAGCTAGACGTGGAGTTGGTAGGAGAGAATTACCTGGCAAGATTTCCAGTGGGAAAGAGAATCCATAGACTGGGAAGAACAGATGATACTGGAGATAGGTGGGCAGGGAGAAAATGTATGTTGGCTAGGCTACGTTAGGAGATCCCATTATTCATGTGGTGTAGAACCAGTATGGCATAGTGGCTGGAATGCTGGACTGGGACTCCAGAGATCTGGGTCCTTGTCCCCACTCAGCCATAAAGTTCACTGGGAGACTTTGGTCCTGTCACTAATTCTTAGCCTAACCTACCTCACAGGGCTATTGTGAAGATACAGCTGAGTGGAGACTGGAACCAGGGTTCCCTAATTCAAACACTTTAACTACAACACCACACTTGCCCTCTTAAAAGGGCTAACTTTATGCATAACCCACACCCCTGTATTTTTGTTCAGCCAAAGGAAAGGAAAGGAAAGGAAAGGAAAGGAAAGGAAAGGAAAGGAAAGGAAAGGGGCTATTTCTGTCAGCCGAACTATGCTATAGGTTTTCTTCCTCCTTGAGGTTTTCTTCCAGCACGAAGGGAAGGGTAAAGCCTATGGATATTTCTTTCTCCTTTAGCAGTATGGGGAGAAGCAGGAAAAGAGGTTGGGGACTCATTCAGGCTGAGAGCTTTTCTGCACAAAACTGTTAAAACTGATGTTAATAATCAGTACCTACTTTCAGTTTTGTCACAAAACTGAGATTCAAGCACTACACAATAAATGTTGCCTTTCTTCCTTATTGACTATGTAAGTTCAAGGTGGCACTGTGGTATGCAGGAACAGCACAAATACACAAGACAAAACTGCAGTTTCTTTCACCAATTGGAAATATCATCCCATTTTCCCTGCTCTAAAAAACTGACTAAAAGTGCTGGCTATATACAAAAAGTGAAACTGGAGGGTCACCACATCACATGAATTTGCTCATGCTTGTATAAGGATGAGCAAATACACAATAAATGGCTCATTTAGACAAGCCTTGAGGGTCATGTGATCTACTGGTTAGAGTCCTGAACTAAAATTGTAGTGAACCAAATCTCCATTCATGAAGCTCTCTGCTGACCTCAGGCTGGTCCCTCTTTCTCAGCCTGACATTCCTTATAGGATTGTTCAAAGGAAAAACATGGGGAACCACAGAGGCCACCTTGAGTTCCTTGGAATAAGCAAAGCTCATATATTGTGAAATGTTCTCCCAGCTGAAGCCAGCTGGGCACACCAACCTACTTATCTTTTTGGTGACTGGTTAAGACTGACTCCTCCTCCCAGACATTTGGCAGCATATGATGCAACTTTTAACAACCAGTGTTAGGTCTTGGTGTTGTATGTTTAAGTGCTTTTAGCTGTTTTACACTTTTTGATTCATGTGTATCCTAAAGATTTTACGTTATGCTTTTGGTATGCTACAGTCTAAATTTTAATTTCTGTGAACTGCTCAGAGAGCTTTGACTATTGGGCAGCATAGGCATGAAATATAAGGAAACAAATAAATGAAACAGTGTGAGTGCTGTAGAGCACAGCTGATTTGAAACCTGACAAAATTTACCTCAGTCTCTCCCTGCCACCCCCGCCCCCGCCCCACTTCCCTCTTGAAATAAATCCCAAGGAAAAGGATTGGCTAGGCAGCTCTTTGTCCTAGTTTCTCAGGTTTGGCCTAAGCATGCATGAATGCCATACTCACTTCTTGACTGGAATTTTCCCCTCAGCATTCAGCTGTGTCTTCAGCTTCACTAGTCTGTGGAAAGATCAAAAGAGGCAATCCTTCATTGGTTCTGAATCCCACAAAGGGGAAAGACAAAAAGGAGTGAGGGAAGGAAGACAGGAAAAGGTGAGATACCGATTAGAATATGTGTATGCCTGTTCATGCCTCAGTGACAGCTATTTCTGAACACTCAGGGGTAAATAAAGGTGAGATGTGATGCTGAAATTAAATTTCTCATTACTTTTCTCAGTGTCATTGCTTTTGCAGTGACTGGAAAGAATTGGTTCTATTTGTTAATTTAGTACATTTCTAATACAGCTAATAACGTAATCTCCAATAGTGTAGCGTAGTAGCAATGACACAGCCTTATTGTTGATCTATTGCAATTACTGGAACTCATGGTTTTCATAAACTGCTTTATGAAATACTGGCACCTTGCCTTTGGTTTCTTTTCTTCTCTATTTCTTCTTCTACTACTACTAATTATTATTATAATTTATGTATATCTAACCTTTTTTCCTCTTGTGAAGATCCCAAGCAGCTTGCATAGCTCCATTTTATCCTCACAAAAACAACCCTGTGAGGTAGGCTGGGCTGAGAGTGAATCACCCAGTGAGCTTCTGGCTGAGTGGGGACTAGAAACTGGATCTCCCAGGTCCTCAGTCCAACACTTTAACCACTATACCACACTGGCTCTTTTATAAAATGGAGGCAGAGAAAAGCAACAGAATAATGCAATATATCAGGTGCCCTGTTCAGGCTTCTGGCCAGAATACTATAAGTGGTAAGGGGCTGAAGCAGGACATTCCCATTCCCCTCCCCAGCTTTTCCTTTTCTGGCTGGCTTCCATGGTTGCTGAGAGTGCCCTCTTCTCTTTGGGCCATTTTTTGCAGGGTGCAGTAGGGGATTACTTCTCTAAAAAAAGTGGGGTGCTGGACTCCTGCAAGCCTTGGGATATCCCTAGGCATTATAAGGCATCCGCCTAGTTTTAATGTGGCTCCACTTTGGTTCTGTTTCTGTTGTCACTTGCCACTTGGATTTGCTGCTAGGTGAGTGATAGGAAAGCTTTGGAAGTGCAGACTTAGCTGATGAGTGCTTACATTTTTTCCAGGAAGCTGTAACGGGAAGCATTTAATATAAAGGGGTTCCTAACAATGCTCATGACATCATCTGCCCAATTCTGAAAAAAAAGCCAAGTGTAGAAGTTTACAGTGGAAAATTATATTGTGCAACAATCAGAGTTTCAGCATGACTGAAGAGCTGTCCTATGATTCTTTCCTTGTTAAAGTCATGATCCCAATAACAGCAACATTTAAATCAACAGATGCCAGTAAATGTGTGTTGAATCAGGTCCTCTTTTCACATACCTGCCAAAAATGAAAGGACACTTCACACTACACATACCTGTCTAGAGTAAATCCAGGATACAAATTAACTTATTGCATTTATGCGCAATCTTTCCTCCAAGCAGTTTAAGGTAAAGTACATCGTTTTTGCTTGGGGCCAGGCAGTGAGCTCTCTGGCTGGGTGTGGACGTGTACCTGAGTCTCCCCAGAACTTGTCTAACTACTGCACTGTGCTGCTTGATTTGATACAACAGTCTATCAGATTATTGCCCCCCAAACCAAGTCAAATCAAACTTATGGTCAGGAATTTTGTAACTTCACAGCCAGACTATGAAATAAATAACAGTTATTATTATATTAGATTTCTAATATAATAATTAGAAGGATTTTTTCCCTCTTGTGATGAACCCAAGGGTGGTAACATAGTCCCTCTCTTCTCCATTTTATCCTCACATCCCTTTGAGGTAGATTTGGCTGAGAGTCCGTGACTGGCCCAAAATCACTCCACAGTGGTTCAAGTGTTGGCCAGGAATGAGAACCCAGATGCCCCAAGTCCCAGGACAGCACTCCAACCACTGTGCCACACTGGCTGTCTCGAGGGTGGAAGACACATTGCAAACCGTCCACTCAGCTGGCTGAGCAAGGATTAAAAGCTGTATCTCATATCCAAATCCCACACCACAGGCAAGATGCCACACTGCTTCTGTCAAAGTGGTGCCACTGTGTGGCTGCTAGGATAGGTGAGAACAGTGCAAAATAAACTACTCCTGCTCTGAACAAAGTGTAATCACACTTCAAAAAATAATGTAGCAGTACTACACAGTGCCTGTCTTCCCTTCTGTTTGAGTTGGTTCCAGGACACTTCACAGTGCTCCGTCTGGCACCGTTGAGTGCTCTAATACCTTTCCAACATTTTCTTTATAAGATACAAAATTGTGAAAGGTGAGATCCACCATATCAGGACCAGAAACCACTGTCAATGTCTTGAGAAAGAAGTTATTCTCTGGGAAATCCAAATTGAAAACCTCTCGGAGCTTCTGGCTCTGCAAAGGAAAAACAAGCATAAGTATCCTAAGTATGAGAGGAAATAGGCAAATCACCTCCTTGAAGCAATCTTCTGCTTTAAATTCAAAGTGGATTTTGAAGAGCAGAAAAGGGCATCCTCTCTCTCTCTCTCTCTCTCTCTCTCTCTCTCTCTCTCTCTCTCTCTCACACACACACACACACACACAGAATGTTATTGCATTTTTTAGAAAAGTTTACCAACTTGTTTCTTCCCCTAGATTATTTTACTTCTGACAGAAATGCTAAGAATGGGATTTATTGCTGTTCAGTCGCTAAGTTGTGCCAGACTCTTCATGACCCCATGGACAACATTCCTCCAGGTTGTCCTGTCCTCCACCATCCCCCAGAGTCTACCCAAGCCCACACCCTCCACTCCAGTCACCCCATCCAGCCACCTCAACCTCTGAAGAACGGGATTAGCTGGTACAAAAACACAGGATGTGTTAGAATATCCTCTGGTGCAGATTTGGGGATAACAGAGGGAGGGAAGGAGAAAAAAGTCTGCTATGCAAGTGGAAATCCACCTGTATGACAGCGGGTGCCATCCAACATGTCACACTATTCCCAGTTGGCTGAGTTCACATGACACAACAACACACCCTGGCAATAATTACCCATGATAAGCCTGACAGACTTATTATAGAATACTTTGCTCCCCGCACCCCATCCTTTCCCCTCATACCTCCAACAGTATCCCTGGAACACCACAGAAAGAAGTGAGTCTCCTCCCTCTGTCAGCAGCAATCATGAGTCAATGTTGGCTCGCCATGGCTGTCCCTTTAATTCCCCCTCCTCCCAAGATGGCAAAAGAAGGGTGCAGAGGCAGCTCTTGCTATCCCCTTAAGGGACAGGCTGGAGCTACCCCTTCAGAGTGCCCTTGGACACCTTTCACAGGCTACCCTTGCGTGCCCTCTATGTTCTGGTGCTTCTTGTTTCTACACAAGTGGGTGCCATTTTCCCCCCTTAGTTGTCTCCATTGTGCAACAAGGGGCAAGTGCAACAGGTGCAAGTTCCAAGCTCAGCTGTGACGAAGCACAGAAAGGTGCACACTGCACAATTGCCCCAGCCAAAGTTGGACATTGCTTCCCCCACCCCTGCTTTCAATGGCTGGCCCACAGCAAGCAAGCCACCCTCTGAAGGCACAAGGGCTCGCTTGCTGAGAAAGACCTGAGTTTTTTGCAAATAGTCCTCCCTTCCAGGCAAGAACCTTCTCTTGGGTTCCTCACAAGAGGAAACAAGGTGGGATAAAAATGCAATATGATAAGAACATAATCTTGTCCTGATGGTACCACTACTCCATCTCCCAGATATGGAAGGAAGGACAACCTTGTGCATGACCCATTTGCACTACACACAGAGTTTACTGTAGGAATGAACTATAGCAGCTCCTTGTGCTTCTGCTGTTAAAGCAGCCTCAGAGTCGTGTTGGATCCTGCATGAAGTAGCAGTCTAGCCCTGCTTCCAGATAGGCCAGGGCTGCCAATCAAAAGGCAGTGTGGGCATCTTTGCCTGCTTAACAGATGTTTGGTGGCAAAAATAAAGATGGGAGAAGTGGTTGGAAAACATGGGAAGGTTACAAATGGGAAATGAATTTTGGACCCTTTGTAAAATTCTGTTTTTGAGGCAAGCTTCATCTTAGGAGCACACTCGAATCCAGAAGAAATGATGTTATATACTTTTCCACAAACTCACCTTCGGTATCTTGGCAAATTTCCCTATTCTAGTGTCTCGAATGCTTGTTATCTCCAAAAATTCCATTTCCTGAAAAACAGCAAAAGCTAGCATTTAAGCCTTGAGTAACTTGAAAGGGAAGAACACCACTTGCTTCAACACTCATGTTACTCTCTGCAGTGTCTAATTCATAAAAAAAACATGCTCAAAGAGAATTCATTTGCATAAATGCTACTGACCTGCCTAGGTGGTTTACTCCAACAAATTCTATTGGAACAGGCTCAGAGCAATTCTTTATTGGACCAGCACAAAGATAGCTAGTTAAAAATCAAGCTGATGATCAAAACCATGTATGCAGCATATATCTGAGAAAATGTGATTTCTTGTTAGCTTGTATCGCAACTGCTCCCATCAGGCCAAAGGGGGCGGGGGTGATATAAGGAATGTTCCCTGATATTTTTGCATAAAACCAAATTTCTTCCTGATTTTTCGCCAACTGCCTTCTTGCAAACAAATATCTCAGAAAACCAAGGGACTCAGTGAAGGTTGAAAACAGAACAGGAAAAAGAAAGATCCACATAAATGGCATGTTGGGAGACTGAATTTCAACCCTGCCAATTTCCCTAAATTTAAATTACTTTAAATCTGACCACTCTCTAACTCTGCACACTCTCATATAATATTAATAGGCCATTTAATAAGATGGCATCACCCCAGGATCCACACAGCAAATGAGGATATCCACTGTAGTTGTTCTCCACACTGTTCTTTCATATGCGTTCTGCATGGTGCAAGTCAAGGCCACCTGGGGCATTTTTTGGGCTGGAGAACAGGTGATATCAGGGGTCCCATTATGGCCCCCTACAAGGGCTCATGCATGCATAATACTGGGGCACCTTAGGTAATATTTCTTAGTCAAGGATGGAACCATTATGACCCCATTTACATGTTGAGATTAAAGGCTGGCCCAAGACACCTTGCTACCTGAGGTGAAGGATCAAACGGCAACCCCCACACACAAAACACCCCATTCCACATTCAAAAAGGGCCTGAGTATAGCTGAATCTTATTGCAACACAGCAGGTGGGTCTTATTCCCTTTTCCACCTGAGATAGTCCCGGAGGGAAATGCAGGCTGAGCAACACCTGTGGCTCACACACTCTTCACCACTTTGCTGCTCCCCCAGCATCTGCCACCTGAGGTGGCTGTTTCATTTTGCCTAATATCAGGATTCAGGACCATCTTACTGTCTCTATCCAAAAGACCAATGAAGACTTAGAGCAATATACCAAGAACCCTGGTGAGCATTGTGGCAGGGCCCCTGGTTGAATTCATGGAAATCCTAACTCATCTGAATCCGCTGCAGAATTCTCTGACATCAGAGACATCAACAACAACAACAACAACAACAACACTGCTTGCCAACCCTAATTAAAAATCCCAAGTATGTGCAGTTCAGTATTTTAAAGTCAATTAATTTATAGCAACATCACGCCTTCCTGAATAAACACAGAGTTTGTTGCTGTTACTCTAATGAACCCACCATCTGCCATTCCCTGAGTAGTCATTTGCAGTGGGAACTGGGCTGTCAGGCCCCAAGGTGCAGCTCTAGCTGCACACAGGCTGTGTAAGGAATTCCCAAATTTTCTTAAACCAAACCAGCCAAAAAGCCACATCCATTGGAAGCAGAGAAGCTATGTGCATATGTGTGGGGAGCACGGTCTGGATATGACCGGCTCTGTCCTTAACCCCTTTCCTGCTGTGCACTTTCTCACTTCATGACCTGCCCTTTCAAACCTGTGCCTGGACATCAGCAAATGGGTGGAAGGAAAGGAGCAGGAGATGTGCACACACAACTTCTCCATCTTTTCAACAAAGAAACAGGCCAGTGAACTGATTCTCTCATGAAGTATCTTAGAGGATAACTTTTGAAAGATCCCATGGAATCCCATGACATGCACACCTGTATATGTGTGGATTGCACGTGTGAATGAGTGAATGAATGAATGAGCACAGTTGCTATGTAACCATTTTTGGTAGTGATAGCTTGAATAACAGAATCAGAATCCTGCTCTGGGACAACCCCTAGAAAAGCAGCATGGGTAACTCATTCCTATGCATCTTTTGTACACTGGTTTGCATTCATGGCATCAAAGTAATCCCATGAGTGCCAAACTTGTTTTGGAGGAGGGATTTTTGTTGGTTTGGTCAACAGCATTGAAGCTCACCTTTCCTCAGTCACAAGCATTCTTTGTGAGTGGGAAACCAGGCAGCCAGTGGCCTCTCCCAGGATGCACTTAAACAAACCACTATTCTATGCTGAGATTTGTTTATTTTGTTTAATGGTCAAATCAAATACTATCACATTTCCTAGGCAAATGAATCACCTGAGTTCCCACCTCTCTCAGAAAATGCCTCAATTCCTTTGATACATTACGTAATTTCTACAGCCAACAAAGTGCAAAACAGGCCCCACTTCAATGGATAGAAGAACATAGGAAGAGCCATGCAGGATCAGCCCAAAGCTCAATATCCTGTTCATGCAGTGACTAGCCAAGTGCCAGTCAGATACTTCAGTCCCTAGAGAATCCATCCCTAACTCTCAATGTCCTTCCACAAGGCATCTTTACAAGACTGACTTCACAGACTCACAGAAACAGTATTGTGCTTCTGCTTGTATTGTGCTTCTGCTTTCTGTGCTTCCATGGAACGTTAGAAGGGAAAACTGGCATTCCCCTCTGAATCAAAATGAGTGGCTTGTGCACATGTTTTATGCTGCAGAGGGCAATCCTTTAGATAAAGGACTGTTGGGTCCAGATCCAATCTCTACTACAGTCATGTGGAGATGTCTGAATTAAGGCTCCCTTTGCATGTTGCTGAGGAACACGAAAAGCTGAGGCCTGAGTTGCTTGCATGGTTTCTGGCTACTTATGCTTGAATCTCCATCTGACTGGCAGTATGGAATTTTTTGCCATAAAATTGCAGGTGCCAATATGCTATAAACAAAATAAAATAAAATAAAATGTTGTGCTGTTGTGTTGTTAATCTGCCATGAAGATCATGCAGCTTTGCCTGGAAATCTGCATCTGTCTGTCTGTGACTTTCTGAATTCTATATACAAATGCGAGCCTGGTGGTTCAGTCTCGCATGAACACTTCCAAGCTAGCTCAGGGATTGCAGGGCAGGCCATGAAGCATGACCACCTCTATCCCTCCATACTCCAGCACTGCCACCCAATTTCCTCAAATGTAGCCACCTCCCTCTGCCAGGGCCAGCCTTCTTTCCTGAAAAATAAGCCAGTGTGGTGTAGTGGTTCAGAGTGGGAAACTGAGACCCAGGCCATCTGAGTTCTAGCCCCCGCTCAGCCATGGAGCCAACTGGGTGACTTTGGGCCAGTCACCCAGGAAAAAGTGGGATATAAATAGAATAAATAAAATAATTAAATAAACAAGCAGCTTCATACCCTGCCGGTGGGATTCCTGGAAGTATCTGCTTTGCCAGTGCAGGATGCTACAGCTAAATGGACCCATAGTCTGACCCAGCAGGGATCGTCTTACTTCTTATGAGTTGAGGTGGACCACCACACATTCCTAGGCCTCTAACCTGGCAGGGTGCACACTTACTGGTTTAGGGTGGCCATGTGTCTTACGTTATTGAGGACCACCCTTTGTCTGAAGGACTATCCAGTCCATGTCTAACTTAAAGATAACAAACCATAAGAATGGAGCGCGGGTGAAGGCTCTGAAGCTGCCTATCAGCAGCTGCCACGTAGATTACAGATTGAGGCATGCAGGTCCCAGAGTCAGTCTTCTCTACTATGGCAAAATGTGTTGTATCTTTATTATAAATTGGCACACATGCATATGAACTAAAATATGCAATACAGTGGAAATTGGTGTCCTCATTTGTCCTATTCTGGGCTGGTACATTTCCTCTTTTTTTTTTTTTTTTTTTTAGCAATGTGCAGTTAGCCACCCTACACTGCTATCATCTTTGAATCTTATCTCATTCTCAAGCTTTAGCTTCTTTATGACCTAGGATAGCCTTCCCTAACCTGATGCTCTCTGCTTGTTTTTGACTTTTTGCTCCAATCAGCCCCAGTCAGCACAGCCAATGGTCAGGAACCCTAGGAGCTGTGGTCCAAAACATCTGCAAGGCACCAAGCTAAGGAAGTTTGGCTAGGAGGAAGCAACCTTGGACCACAACTGCTGACTTAACTGAAAAGCAGAACTAAACAAGCATAGCCTCTACAGCTCTTTTCATGGCATTTCCCTGCACTCCCCACCCTTGCACTAAGAAAGAAAGGAGTTTCTGTGCATTATTGCTTCTCAACTCTGAATCACCCTGTCTCCACATTGTGAACAACCATTCTTTTCTGTGATTTGTCACTTCTGGGCACGGCACTGGAGGCCCTTCCTTACTTTTTAAAGCAGCTATTATGTGCAATAGGATGCACACCTACCAAATAGCTCTGGGTGGAACAGAGCGCCTTGGAACAAACAAGGGTTCTAAGGATGAAGGGACAGTACTCAGTATGGCAAGGTGAAGCCAATGCATTTATTTTCCTTTCTTGCTCTTCCTTTGAGCAAAAGATCATGTCCACTATGTTCTGTAATAACAGTGGTTTCATTTTTAGAAGCCTGGCCTACTTTGAGCTGCAGTTTTATATTGCTGGCTGTTTGCCAAGACTGCTGTTTACTGCTTATGATACAGTAAAGTTTGCAAGTCCTTTACTTCCTGGATTCAGTCTACTGCAGTTTGCCACTTCTGCTAACACAGGGATAGAAAGGTGACTTTTGCCTGGGACTCTAATTTCTTGCTGCATAAAAACAGATATAATGCAGACCGAGCATGGTCCCTTCTCAACATTATGACACAGATTTTCATATAAGCTCTATATTTAAATTTGCACATTTAGATATAATTAATATAATCTAAACAGAAAGACAAAGAGATAATACAACTTACCATAGTGGGTTAAGTTGAAGTGTCTCTCCTAAGGCAAAGTAGTTATTGGCAATAAGAGCTTTAAGCAAGAAAACACTCATGTTTTTTGATCCCTTCTGCTTTGCCTCTGGCTCCACAAATTACTAGAATGTGACTCCCAAAAGTTTCTGTGAAACCAAATTTGCCTATTGGATTGAAAGAGGTTGTTCATCCCTACCCTGATACCTTGGGCATCCACTACCAGTCTAGTACTAGTGCAGGCAGTACTAGCTTTGATGGACCAGTGGTCTGATTTAAGACATGTGGCAATTCCACAGATCCATTCAGCTTTCCTGTGTGTTTCAAAGATTGAAGTATATTTAATGTCACCATCTCCAGTGGAATACAAAGGTCAGGATTTACCTTACTCTGAAATGTCCAGTATAGGTAATATCCCTTTGGATCCACCCGTAGAATGACAGGAAAAGCATTTGTGGAATCCTGGAAAAAGCAAAAAGATAAATAGATCAGAAACATTATTTTACGTGTCTTCATACAGCTGTGAGTGAATGAAAACAGAGACGGCATTAGTTGGACTAGATGACAGTAATGGTTCGACTATGTCCTATGCTATGATTCTGTTTATTTCCACACATATTTAGGAAATGTTGTTCAAATAAATAGAGAAATTGTCTCTTATAAAAGAAATACAAGCACCTCTGCAATTGTTTGGGCTGGATATCTAGCATTCACCTTTTCCAGTCCACTGTCCTGCATCTTCTTGATTACCAGAATGTTCTTCACATCTAGATCTGAGTCCTAGGCAGGAGTTCATGCAGAACACATGAAGGTCTAACTGGAAGCTGGGTGTGGAGGGACACTGAGAGCAGACTTTACACGTTCACCCAGATCCTCTATATCAGGGGTCTCAAACTCGCAGCCCGCGGGCCAATTGCCAGGACAGGCGGGGCACGGGGGAGGGGCCCTGTGGCCTACAAAGCGCCGGCGGCGCCCGGGCCGGCCGTGGGATGAGCGGCCCACCACCACTGCAGTGGTGGAATACTTGATGCGGCCCAGCCTCACCCAGACTCTACTTCCAGCGGCCCCCAGGTAAGTTGAGTTTGAGACCCCTGCTCTATATACTTTCATCCTACATGCAGGTAGACACTTGCATGTTACATGCTATAGATATACATCCTGAAAAATTTGTGAATTCAGTCTACACATTTCTTTCACTAGAAAATGGCAGACTCTTCCAAATATCAAAAATAGTTCAGTGCTGCAGATTTATTGAAGTATGCATCTGTGCTTAGCCTCAGTTGCACAAATTCAGTGATTTCTGAAATTGGAACCCAAAGGTATTAAGATGAAAGGACAGACACAGGTGAGAGACATGAAGAGATCATTAATTCTGGAAGAGTTGAGGACACACACTAAATTACAATCTACTGAGCCTGGCACCAACCAGATGAGTTGATGACAACTTCCATCATTCCCAGCCAACTGGTCAACAAACTTGCTGCTTGGGGATCATGGGATCTGTCACAAAGATGAGAGCAGGGAACTTTCCTAAATCATGCAAGTGCAGGACATGGAATAACAGGAAGTTAAGGAAGCTCAAGTTACAGGAGGCCAGATTCTGGCTAGATATCAGGAAGAACTTGCTAACTGTTGGAGCAGTACAACAATGGAATCAATTATCTGGGGAGGATGTGAGCTCTCCCACACTGGAGGCATTCAAGATGCAACAGGACAGCCATCTGAGATGGACAGTTGAACATGGTGTCCTTCACTGAGTAGGGGGTTGGACCTGATGGCTCTCTACCCCCTTCAAACTCAAGTACTCTCTGATTCAATGATGTATAATCCAAACTCAAATCAAGTTAATTAGGAAATCAAGTTAACTGTTCAAGCCAAAAAAAAAGCAACCAAGCAAATCAAGCATTTTCAAGGGGTAAAGTCTTTGCACCAACAAATTAGAATCATAGGCATGCTTGAACTGAGAGACCTTCATAGCAAATCTGGCTGTATTAAACAGAATAGGCTTCAACATGCTAGGTAGCTAATAATTTTATCCGTTTTAAGAGCCTTCCAATGCTAACTTTACTTCAAATATTTTTCCTTGCAATTTTAAACAACTCAGGTAAAACATAACATATGGTATCTTCAGCCAACTTGCATTCACAGATACTGAATTTTGTTCTCGGGCAATTTTAATCCACCTCTCTTCCAAAAACAAATTGATTTACATTGTCTGAAAGTGCAAGGTTTGCAGTGGAAAGGTGAAATATGGTGAGCCTGGGGCAAATATTTCTCTTCTCCATGCTGGAACAGGAGAGTGATTAGAAAATGTAATCAATATCAATAACAGCAAATAATTCCTGTTATCACTTTTTAAGGATTTTCTCAGCTAGACCATATAGGATTTGTAATCCATCATGTCTGGATAGCGTCAGGTTGAGAAAAGCTGCTCTAAAAGAAAAGTCTGTGATATTTTTGTCAGCTTCAATGGATTTATTTTTAATTTTTGCTGATGCTTCAATAAGTCTGTGGTTTTATTGCTTTCTATTTATTTGAAGCTTTTTTAACAGAAGGAAACAAAAATAAAAGGAGAGGAGAGGAACGAAAAGTCTGCACCAATCTTTCAAGTTACAAGATTCATTATTTGGGGAGATAAGGAGCTGTTCTTAGCAGAGTTAGCAGTGTGACTCTGATTCCCAACTCTCCCTCAGTTGCAGTCTGATGAAATGCCTGCTGCTCAATGATGCTCTCTTATTTTGTTTGTTTTTAAACCGACAAGGGTCTAATTTCTGAAGATTGGCTCATGCATTCACCAAATCCATATTCCACCTTCATTGATAGCACACACTTTGATTTGCAACTGGAGATGGATTGGAAATCAATATGGAAGTTAGGTCAGTGCCTATGTTTTTCCATTCTGAGGGGTTCAGCCTAATATTACATCACCCATTACTTGGAGCTGATTTTAATTCTGCAAATACTTATGGCATGCAGAAGATCTGAGCTGTACTACATCATGCAGAATGAAGCCCTTGATGGGATCTAATTTATTTATTTATTTATTTATTTATTTATTTATTTATTAAAACATTTTTATGCCGCCCCATTTGCCGAAGCCTCGGGGCGGCTTACAACAAAAAATTAAAATAACATTTTAAAATATATACAATAAAATACATATATGTAATATAAAACAAACACTATAAAACAAGCCGCCCTGGCCAAATAAAATTCAATAATATTAACATTTAAAATACTGCTTAAATAAAAAGGTCTTCGCCTGGCGCCGAAAAACAAATAACGACGGCGCCAGGCGGACCTCTCTGGGGAGCGCATTCCATAACTTAGGCGCCACCGCTGAGAAAGCCCTCTTCCGAGTAACCACCCTCCTAACTTCTTCCACAGAGGGCTCCCGGAGAAGGGCCTCTCCCGCCGATCTCAGGGGGCAGCTGGGCATATAAGGATGTAAGCGCTCCTTCAGGTAACCAGGACCCAAGCCGTTTAGGGCTTTATAGGTCATTACCAACACCTTGAATTTAAGGAGAATTCTGTTTAATAAGTATAGTCATAGTAGACTAGAGTACCCCTGAAAATGGCAGTCTCCACTGATAGAAACACACACTTGCTGAGTCAGTTCACCATGGCGACAGACACAAATTTTACGGAAGAATGCTATAAAAAAGTCCTGACTTGACCTGGTTTGGCCATTGGGTCAGAAACATGTTGAAAGTCTGTTGAGTTCAAATGGAACTAATGTTCAACTGCTTAACATCCCCAGGGCTTGGCTTATATAGCCACATTACTGTCCTTGTGCAGGTGCGTAGTGAGATTTAATGGCTTGCTGTACATGCACTGAAGCTTCCAAAGCAACACAGATTAATGACACGATTGACCGTGTGCCATCGGGAGGCTCCTGTGCACATGAAGGGGAGCGTTCCCCATCTGGAGTGTTCTCCAAACCATGCGAGGGCTTACGGCTTGCACGACCAGTGGCGTGATGACACCCCCATAGTATGCCATTGCACCTTACTAGTTGCGGTGAGGTGACCTCATGGAGATATTACAGCACCACACTGGACTCTGTATTTGCCAGTATTCATCAGGGACATCGTTTTAAACAGGCGGCTCTTTCTGCTTAATTCAAAGTCTGGCATTAATCTCCTTCAAGCTTTTTAAAATTAGTACCAGCTTATTCAAGATATGTGAAGACTGACTGTAGTTAACTTAGTTTTGAAAGATCTTTGCATTGATATATAAAAGAGAATGGCTGTACATAAAATAGTTGCCTGTTCAACAAACTTTTCAAAAACAGTTTGGTGCATTTGTGTCTGCACGCCCCTGGACAGTCTCACATGTGACTTTGCAGTCAGCACTTCAGCATTTAAAGGCAGGCGGAAGGAACATGAAAGAACAAGAGTTCACCATTTGATCTTATCCCATGTAACGCTCTAACAAGAAGATGAGAAAAGGAAGCCATTGATCAGTTTATCATTTTCTCTCTCATGCTCACTTGCAATAATCTTTTAGATACTTTTTTGTTTTGTGTTAGAAAGCAAAAGGATAGTAGCATCTCAGATTCATACAAAATCTTCTTCTCATGCTTAGTACAACTTTTAATATCTTAGATGCATAACATGAGCAGGATGCATGACCCATCAACTCAGGTCTTTTCCTGCAACAGTACAGAAATGTGACTGTTAGCTAAGAGCTGACTCATGTAAAACTTTTCTTCTTTTTTTTGCACGCACAGGCCATCCTGACCATCTCCAGGAGACCAAATGCAATGTGACCTCAATCCCAGGTATAATCAGCAGCAATTGTTGTGATACTGTTCCAGCGTCCATGTTCAGGGCATTTACCATGGACTAAGCCCCAGTTCATACTCAAGCTGGGCCTCATTTTGTTAAGTGGGAGAGCAGTATAGGCCCCTTTCCCACAAAGATAACACTGCATGTGAAGCAGGCCTTCTCTAAGGAGGCCCAGGAGTCGACTGGTTTCATTTGCATGATTCCCCCTCCCTCTTTTTGGAAGGGAAGACTCACGTGAGTCAGTCCTCTTTGTAGACTGTTGTATGCATGATGCATTTACTCTTCCTCCACAATGCCACTGTGCACCATTCCCTCCAGAGTGCACATGGAGAGTCACCCTCAGTAAATATACGCAGTGATGACACCCGAAAAATATTGAGAAGAAACAATGTGGGGACAAGCATTTTTCACTTTCCAAAAGAGAAATGATGGTATATTGTACTTGTTCACCCTCATCTTAAGCATATATTATCTGGAGGATGTTTTATTGCTTTTGGTGGAATTATCTTTCAAATATGCATGCTAAGGATTGTAGTCATATTTTAATTTCTAAGTTAGTTTTCAACTCACTTTTCAGGCAGTATCCACTGTTAGTCTAACCTAAGCACTATTTATTTCATAGGGTGTAGTCTAAGTTGTTGTTGTTGTTAGTTAGTTGGGAAGTCTTGTCCGACCCATCACAACCCCATGGACAACATTCCTCCAGGCCTTCCTGTCCTCCGCCATCCCCCGGAGTCAACCTAAGCTCACACCAGCTGCTTCAGTGACTCCATCTAGCCACCTCATTCTCTGCCGTCCCCTTCTTCTTTTGCCATCTATTGTTCCCAGCATTAGACTCTTCTCCAAGGAGTCCTTCCTTCTCATTAAGTGGCCAAAGTATTTGAGTTTCACCTTCAGTATCTGGTCTTCAGTCAGGGTTGAGCTCCTCTAGGACTGACCGGTCTAAGTAGGATTACAATAAATACAACCCATAACTATTCATCTGAAAGGGCCTTCCTTCAGGAAACCACAGTGACCCAACAATGGGGGTGTTTTGAGACACCTCTCCAGAGAGGTACTTGACCCTTTGCTCTGTCCAGTGCTGCATGTCCAATCCACACATTATAGGAAGGTTACAGGGCAAAGGTGAGCTTGGTTTAAAGCTCACCCTAGGCAAGAACATACCAGGCAAGCCATTATCTATCGGTCTTCATAGTCCCAGTCCACCTCCTGCAATACAGGGGTAATAGCTCTTGCCTACATCACCTGGCTTTTGTAAGGCTTACTGAGGTAATGTACGTGATGCTCTCTGAACACATCAAAGCACTATATAAGTGCTTCTGAGGCACAATTCTGTGTGTGTTTCGACAGAAAACAGCATGGCTGATTGGGGAAAGCTGGGGATTGTAGGACCTGTTTCTGCCTGAAAATACATCAGGTCACACCCTTCATTTATGTGTTGATTGTCCTTCCTGGCACAGATTCATCTGGGGTGCTCTCTCTCCCCCTCCCTTTCTTTAACAGGGCAAAGTCAATTTGCACATTTGCCTGCTGATTCACTTTTATAAAAAGTGGCCTGTGGCTATGTATTTGATGCTACCATGTATTTGATACTACCATGTTTATTTTTTAATTTCTTTATGCACGTTTTACTAGAAGAAGTATTTTGAAAGCCTCATTGAGGCCTGTCTTGAATATTATTTAAAGCATGTTTATCCTGCTCCTCAGTCAAAAAAGCTCCACCCATTTATCAAGACAGATTATTATTTCTCCATAGGAATGCCTTTCCACAAGATAGCCAGAACTGATCAGATACTGGATCCGCACACAGATATTGGAGGACTTGCAGGCCTACAACAACTACATAACCAATGGTCATCGTTCTTTTTTCTTACTCACCATCCATTGCTTTCCCTGATCCCACTTACATATCACCAAGAGAGGGAGGAAGATGAGGATAAGAGTTACATAAAAATCACAGAAGCTAACTTTTATGCATAGCTGCAAATGTAAATATAATTGCTCTGTTTTGAATAGAAACCGATGGCAACAGCTTATCATATTGGAGGTGGGGATGACCGAGAAGACTGTGTGCCCCTCAGGCTGCACTCTGGTGCTCCTGGGGCAAGCCTCTCCAGGGTCTCTGCTGCTCTGCTTTTTATGGCTGCCTTTGAACTGGACTTGGACCAGCCTGTCCTTCCCATACAAGACACCTGCAGATTCAGGATGGCTTTTCAGATAGAGCACTGGCCTCTGCAAAACAGTCACCCTAATCCTTCAAGACAAGTCCACATTCATAGACTGCACTGACGGATACATTTCTCCTTGCAAATGCTGGGGCAAATGGTACACATCCATCCATTTCCTACTCCCCAGAAGGCTATTGCAGATGCCAGCCCAGCAGCACATTATTATTTTTAATCAATTTGTTTGGAACGTGTCTAGGCTGCCTCTGAGAGCAGGAGGCTTCCCAGTGCCGTGATGCAGTAATAAAAAGAAAGGTTTGGTACTCACATCATCCCACTTGATGAAGCGTTCACCTTTCGTCATGTACTCCTTTACCTCAGGGGGGGTCAGAATAGGGGTAAGCACCGACATTTTAAGAGTTAATCTTGTCACTGGATCATGGGGCTCTCTTGTTCTTGGCTGCCTTGTTTTCTGACCTCTGGACCTCTTCCTCAGCTAGGGTTCTCTGGCTGCTCCACGACCAAACATGATTTATAGTCCTGAGAGAAAAATGAGATGGTTCCCCGAGGAGAATGCAGAGATAGTGATCTGCATGGCAAATGACCCTCTTTCCAAAGCAAACAGGTGAACCCAGACAGACCAGAGACTGTGGGGATAAGAAAGGCAGAGACAGAAAATCAATGTGCTGCTCCTTAAAACTGCAGAAAGCCACAAGTGAGGGCTTCCTGTTATCAGCTTCCTCATAAATGCTTCTACTTCACTCACCAGCTGATTCATAAAGTATTTCAAAAGCCTAGAAGGAATTTCAAAGGTCCTTTTCAAAACTGTCTATTTAGAACCACTTCCTCTCTTACAAGCTGCAGGAGAACTGTTATTTGAACAAAAGGCACACACAAACAAACCAAGGCTGCATTTGGTACCTGAAAAAATCTTGCCCTAATCCTAAAAAACGTTTGAAGTGAAGTGACATCTTTAGAAGAAACATTTTTCCAGTTTGCAAATTGAATGAAAGTCACACTTGGGCCAGAATATACAATGTAACCATTTTTAAAGCTCTGTTTTGACTTCAGCATTATTTAAACAACAGGTAAAGACTTCTGATCTTTTTGTTTTCCAGAATAATGCAAATATTCATCTTTTCTCAAAGTAGTGCTTCTTTGATTGAAATACTGCATTTTCCTATCAGAAGCCATGACTCATCCTTCTCACCCAGAAAAATCCATGTGAATTCTGATTGCTGCTGCTTCACAGAATGTGACTGCACATGTGCGAACACATTAAAAGGAAAATGACCATTGAAAAGCATTGTGCCATTCTGAATAGTCATAGGAAATCATTGGAAGATTTTAGAGATCATCTCCAAATCAAAAATCAGAATGTCCCCTCACACCCTTTTATTTTTCACACACAATTACTCCAATCAACATTTATTTTTCATACATAATTGCTCCATTTACATGCAAAGTGGTTTTAAGGCACAGCTCTCCACGGCACTTAATACAGAAGATTCTACAAATCATCTCCAAATAGACATAGGAATCAAAACACAAAGAAACGAAAAACCACAGTGATACAACAATTTCAAATGCACTAGGAATGTTGGGAGGGGGGAGTTTAGCAGGAGCTTCCACAGTTCCTGTGCTCCTCAGCATTCCAAGATACACAATGGATGCCTTCTCTCCAGGAATAGTCCCAACCTACTGCACAGACCCAATATTTAAAACGTCAACCTCACTGGTCATAGGAATACATTGAAACACAATCAGCAGCCTCACAGAAGGAACCAGGAGATCCTAAATTACTCATGTCCCCTAGAACTAGTAGCCCAGACATCTCAAGGGGCACTATTTGATACATGCTCCATATTTATTGCTTCATTCTGTCCCCTGGCCATGATCTTTAAAGTGTCATTCTGAATGGCCATAGGAATATATTGGAGTGATGTCAGCTGCAGCACTCGGAACAGCCAGAACCTATAAAACTCTGATAGGCTTTTGTCCATACCCAAAGCACCATTTGATTTCTTTCCCAGAGGAATACTTCCTCCTGTTGCATGACCCCAATTTTCAGGCATTCCTCAGAAACTCCACAGGGATGCAATGGCCTGAGATGAGCAGCATTACTGGAAGCGGGAGGAGGTCCTTGCATATGAATGTCAGATAACTCTGTTACTTCTATCAGGGTATTAACCCTAGGTGCATGAGCAGTTTGGGGCTCCTGCTCTTTGATGTGTTGTTGCTGGTGTCTTCACAATCTTTCAGAAGTCTGGATGATTTGTAAAGGGAGATTGCAGCAGGCGGAAGCAGCTGGGGATTTGGAAGAATGGAAATAATCCTAGATACCTTTTGCAACTGTTCCACCCAATACTTATTGTGCATTTGAAACTATGTGCATTTGTCACTATGTTAGGCTTCCATCGTCTTTTTGTTTTACTGCACTTTGATTCCTTTGTCTTTCTAAAGATGACTCCTAGACACTGCTGTGTTAAGGGCTTAAAAGCTGCTTCCTAAAGCCACTTTGCATATCAGTATTTTGATTTTATTTATTAAATTTATTTATTAAAACATTTTTATGCCGCCCCATTCGCCGAAGCCTCGGGGCGGCTTACAACATAAAGTAGTTGTGTATGAAAAATACTCAGATGAACAATTAGTTTTTCCACTGTATTTCATGACCTGTTGCTGTAGGCTCTCTCCTTAGAATCACAGCATTGGAAGTGATTTCAAAGGTCATCTAATCCACTGGAAAAATAAACACAGGAAATTTACTTCCAGCCTCTGCTTAGCAAACACTTTCACCTTCTGAGGTGTCCTGTACAGGGCCGAATAGCTCATGCCATAAGAAAATTCTTCCTTAGGTTTAGTCAAAATCTCCTGTCAATCCAGTTCTCACCCTCTAAGGTGTATTCAGTCTGTTCAGCCCTGTAATATGGCTTGGAAAAACCCATCTGAAACCCTGGAGACTTACTGCCTGGTAATTAAGAAACTACTAAGCTAGTTAGAGTGATGGTCCAACTTGGTATCCCTCGGTGAAAGGGGTTCAATTTAGTTAGTGCATTTTATCATTGGGCTTTAAAATCTTTTATATTTAAATTAAGATTTTGGTTTTAATTTGGATTTATTGTAAGCCACCTTGAGTATCACTTATTGTCAAAAAAGGAAGGATATTAAACAAACAAGTACCAAAAAGCATCCCCTTAGGGTGCAATCCTATGCATGTTTACACAGAAAAAAATACAGCTCCAAGAGGCCGGATTAGCCACCTATCAGGGATGTTACAGCACTGGATTTCCAACAAAGGAAAGGAATTGCACTGGGTGAGGCCCCACTCTTGTACGACATTTAGGAGTGGAACAACCCCAAACGAGGTAGAGTTTGTCAAAGGCACAAACACACATGCACAAATGGCCTCCTTTGAATACAACAAACTGCCAACATCCCATCTATGCAATTTTCATATATACAAACTGAGATGTCATCATAGTTCCCCCATATGAAAATCAGGAGTGCTTTCACCAGTTGTGATTGTAATCTATATCCTATGCAAAACACACCCCCCCCCAACCCATACCAGATTCTCTGAAGAGCAAGAGGGGACACTAAAGGTGTTTCCATGTGAGTTGCTCAGCACAACACTGACACATTTCACATTTCATTTATTCAATCTTTATGGGTCATGGAATAATCAGAAATGCACTCTTTCCCCATCTTCTCTCAGTTCACAGAAAATTCAACTTTTTTTTTCTTTTTGGCAAGAAAACATTAATAATAAATGTTTTAATGTTTTTAACAATAAATAAAGATAGTAGTGCTATCTCTGCAGGTATGGATGATCCTACTTCCCCATGTTTTCCAGGAGGCATGGTTTTGATCTGGGTGGTAAGTTTTGACACATGACCTTATCAATAAACCTACTTTTCCCATCTTGTCAACAAATTTACTTACTTGACCTTGTATTGACTCCTCAATGCATTTTAATCTACATTTTTTAAAAAATGACACAATCACACTTTTTTAAACTGTTGTAGAGCCCCTTAAAGAAAGTGATTAAGAAACAAGTCCACTGCTTCTCTGTTGTCAGCATTTTAACAGCTTATCTGCATTTTCCCGCCTGCACATTTGCCTTCAAATCTATCTGCCTAACCTATTATCTTAAAATAACCACACTTTTCTGCTTAAATAAACTCTTTCGCACACATTAAAGCTATCTGTCTATCTAGAGGAGAGGGATGGTTCACAAGCGAACTGTTCTTCCTGGCCCAGTCATGTCATGCTCACTACTACGAATGGAACATGGCAGAACGTACACTCATCCAAGAGGATCTGGATTTTCCATTAGCAATGAGGGTGGGGGGAGCAGGCCTTCCACCTCACCTGCTCACAGCCACCCTTTGTGCCCGTAACAGACCATCAGGGGACACTGCTGAAGCGAGTGAACAATGGGGAGTGGTGGGGGAAGAGGGATTCCTGAAAACTGGGGAGGCCATTTGTGAGAGGGAAGCCTTCCTATCCACTGAAGGAACATCCTGGATCAAAGTCAGCTGCGAATTCTGCTTGCATCAAAACCACAGTGGCTGGAAAGTACCAGGAACTGCTTGATGGGATGTGCCCAAGTTAATGCTCTTTAAAGCGGTGAGCTTATTTAAAAACATGCTGAGGCATCCTCAGAATCAGAAATATTTCAAGAAATATCAGAAATATTTCAAGCTAGGACTTCTCAGTGTTGTTTAATTCAGAATCCTATCAATTGCACCCTTAACGCTTGCAAAGAGTCGCATGTCCTCCAAGAACCCGCAGGATGGGGAGGGGATCAAGAATGGCTTGTGACCATCTGAATCCTCTGCAACTCAGATGACATCTCCCTGCGCCCACCCCACCCCACCCCACCCCACCCCATCCCTTACCCATGATAACTTTGCAGGATTACTCTCTACATCCACCCTGTTAAATCATGACTTTTAACCAGTTCTTTCATCAGAAATTAGCAAAAAAAAAAAAAAAAAAAAGATGAATAACATGTACAAGAGAAGGAATAAGAAGAATAGGGAAAGAATGCAGGGAAAAGAGAGGGAAAGCATGCCATTTAGATGCCATTTGTTTCACATACTACTTTACAAGAAATTTGCTCTTTGCCCTAGAACCCTCCTGTGCCAGCCATGCTGTGGCTCAGAGAAAGGATGCAGATCAATTTCAGATTAGTTCAGCCATTACACTAAAATGTTCCCTTTTACTTCTCTGTCTTTTACCTATCTAACTATATAGCAGCTAAAATGTCCCCTCGACCTTCTGATTTAAACAATTGAAATATTGACCTCTAGTGGCCACTCTGTGAAAGTATATGCTTGAGCATATAACAGACCATTACATTCCAGCAAAAAAAGAAATTCCAAGTACTTTTCTGTACACTGTCCATTTGTTTGGAAAATTTCTTTCAATACTGGGTTAGCATGCTCTGTCCTTTGCATTTCACTTGATGCTCTAGTAAATTCTACCAGTGTCCTGTTTTATCACATGCCAGAAATGGAGCCAAAATGAACTTACTCATTTTCTAAATAATGCTTTACAAAACATAGATAATATCAGACTTCCACCCCGACAGGCATTAAAATGTGAAATGTTCACAGATGTAATTTCAACCCTCTGCAAATGCTTTGAGTAGCAGAGGCAGC